AGTCACAGAGGAAAGGAAATAGCCTACTTTTTTAAAGGTAAGAGATGAGAGACAAAGTACCATTTAAAAAACAACATGTCTTTTTGATTATCATGTATCAATGTGGGCTTCAGAAGACGAACTTAAGAATTAGATCCATCCGGATCTAAGGGGGGGAGTGGCAGCCTAGTGGTTAGGGCAGAGAGATTGGAATCCTGAGGTTCTGAGTTCGAGCGTCACTCCCAAGGACTGCCACTCTGGGTCCGTGAGCAAGACCCCTAACCCCACACTGCTCCGCGGGTGCCCCACAATGGCAGCCCACTGCTCCCCAAGGGGATGGGTTAATTAAATGCAGAGGTTAATTTATCCAATGTGAGATCAATAAAGTTCAGTTATAATTATTATTAAAGATGACAAAGGATAAGGACCTTATATGGACATTTATTTTCTGTACTACCAGTTGTCTCCTCTAAGAGAAAGAAATTATGATAATTTTTCCAAAAAGACTACAGAAGAAGAAAAAATATACAAGTGGTTTTTTAATGAAACTGCAATGTTAGAACAAGGGGGTTAAGGGAAGTCCTGTTTCTCATTTATTGCATACAGGTAACATTAATAATGAAAACATAATAATAAAATAAACGATAAAGACAACACGTTTTATTTCTCAGGTCAGAAGTATTACCAGTATGAGTTCAAGCACCAGCCGTCTCATGAAGAGTGTGTCTACATGAGCAGAACCTCTCCATCTGTTCTCTTCACACGTTACACCGACCTGTTCTGCGATCAGCCGTTGGAGAGCCTCCTCACAGACCTCTTTGCAAACCTCTGTAAGACTGAGATAAAGATGTGTTTACATGCAGTCAATCTATAGGAATATGATTGAAATGTTTTTTTATATTTTTGTTAATCAATTAACCATTTGAAAATGATTATATGTAAGTTCACACTGGGTGATGTGTTCAAGGCTTTAACTCCGTCGATGTACAGCTAATAAAAATATCACACCTTAGAATAGAATCTTAAATTGGACAGATAAAAAATATATTTTAAATGCAGCAATGTGTGCTTTAGGAAAGTTATTTCAATTGTTAGTTTTAATCTGAAAAAAGAGCCAAATCACATTACATTATCCTATGAATATGACTAAAAGAGTACTTTAACCAAATATACATTAGATACTATTCTTCAAATACTTTTTAACAGTAACAGTCAGTCAGCCAATCACATAGCAGGAACTCAGTTAATTAACAGATCTAGATAAGTTGAGGACCTGCTGCTGAAATGAGAACCAAGCATCAGAATAAGAAAGAAAAGGTAATTACCGGTAGGTAACTATGCATGTTGCACTGCAAAAAATGAACTAAACATGAGAAAACATGTCTGAAATTAAGTGTATTTAAACTTAATTGGAGCAGGTAAATAAGATGATTTGCCGACGGAAATAATATTTTTACTTTTAAAATAAGATAAGATATTATGCACTCAAACTAAAACAATGCAACTTTTTTTTCTTATATCAAATGTAAATTGTCTTGTTCCAGTGGTAAACTGTCACACTTACCTCCTTAATTCAAGAAAAAATGCACTTATTTTAAGAAAAAAATGACTAATTGAGATTTAAAAAAAAATAATTTGCAGCGTGCATGCTTGTTGATTGGTTTAAGTACTTTGGAAATTATTACTAATTTACAGAAGTTTACCTGTAATCATATTTTGGTTTAGAAAGCATGCAGTGAATGGGCTAGAGTATTTTTGATGTCAGGGATAAGTGACAATAGAAAGGCTTGTTATAGATGTGAAAAGATTTCAGCAGTTCAAACAGTAACACGCCACACCCTGCGGCAGAAGAATACATCACTGGGTGACATTCCTTTCAGAAAACGGGAAACTGAGGATACAATACCATACAGGACAGTTTCTTTAATTTATGCCATAAAGATATCAGGCAGCTTTGGGGACAAAAAAATGTCCCAATTGGTAAAAGCAAAGAGTATAAAATAAAATGGATGGTAACTGTATATTTAATAAATATTATTCATCCATAACTTGCTTCTTGTTCCCTCTTCTGCCTTCAGACACACATGACACCAGCTCCAGGCTCACCATGAGGGATTGGCGAGGCATCACACCACCTGTGGATGCCGCCTTAGTGGGAAAAGTTTCTTTCAATCCCAAGCCCACCATGTCTTCTCCAGCAGCCAGGCGAAGGAGCAGAGGGAGGAAGAGGAGGCCAAGCAGGAGACGTGGCCCCCAGCGCAGGAGGCAAAGTCGCTACGTGTTTGATGACATGTGGTTTTATGATGATTTGTTTGACTTTGGCCTGGATTACAGCGACATGGCTGAAGAAGTGACAGTGCAAGATTATAAAGGCACCCCCGTTCAAAACGTCTACTTTTTCAAAAAAGGTGATTGCAGGAAGTCATTTTTAAACATTCAATACTTCATTAGGTTTCTTCATTTTGCATCTTGTCTCTTAACTTTTTACCGTATTTCATTTGGACTTTCTTTCTTTTCATGTTGACAGATAAGTACTACAGAGTGTCTCTGCAGACAAAACGCGTGGACATCGTCAGCCCTCCGTACCCAAGGTCCATTGCGAAATATTGGCTGGGCTGTGAAGAGAAACCCCCAAGTGATACACCCAGAGCAGAGAAGAGATAGGCTAGCTAAACTACAGACACACACTATAAGTGTTTTCATTGCATCTCTATGTAACAAACACCCTGAGTCTAGTGAAACCCTTTACTAATTCAATATTACCGTATTTCTGTTTTAGCCTACACCCATCAAATGCATATGTTAAGGTTTAGTATGCTTCTTTACATGTTAAAGGGATAGATCAGGTTATTGAAATAAGATTAACTCTTTATCCATGGTCTGTAAAAAAGATTTTGATTTAAGATCTACATTTGATGCTTCCCTCCTATTGTTTCCATTTCGTACAAATGCAGATTAACTGGAGCTAAATCCTGAGTGTTTAAGTCTAAAACTGTTTTCTACAATCCTAAAAAAAAATACTTGACACGCAAAACAAGTAAATATGTATGTAAAAAAAAAAAACAGTTTAGAGAACATTAAATTGCTGCCATATTTGCGGTGATTATTTATGCAGATATGGAGGCAGGAAATGGGTTCCCACCAATGGTGTTCTAGTCTATAACCTAAATAAAAGGCGACGGCAAAAATTTATCCAAAGGTAAACATTCAAGAGGCTCATTTACTTCCTACTATTAAAACTTAAACTCTGAAAATACATTTTGTGATTTGAATTTGAACCGCAGAGATGCTTTCTGTTGCAGTGATTTTAATGGTGTTGATTTTATTGTGCTAACTTTCTTTTTTCCATACTTACCTCATACATTTACACATGTCCATAGGTACGATGGTGCTGACTTAGGTTGCTGTAATATGTTTGCTTTTTACTCATGTTTAGGGTGTAACTCTGACCAAAATGCTTTGCATGTTCTGTTCTTGTATATCTTAAGTTAGGATATAAGATGCACCGACCCTAACTCAGGAGTTTTGCAGTTTTGCAGGAATTTGATTAACGGTTCTTAAAGAGGCCCTACCATGAGTTGCTCTGACATTTTTTTTAGACTGTAGTTGTTCAGAGAAAGGTAGAACTCTAGTTTGATAATAATTCCTCTTGATGTAGCCTTCAGGGTCTTGGTCCAACTAATCTCATTCTTATCTAAATTAATGCAATGTTAAAGTTTTCTTGTGCAGATAAAATATAAATTTAGTTAAAATTTTTATCATAACCTTCCCTTTGAAAAAAAAAAAAAACACTGATCTAATCTAACTTTTTTTTTGGGGGGGGGTTTGGCAATTCTATAACTGAACTCATTTCTGTCTTATCCTGTAAAGGTTTCTATATTTTGCTTTCTGCTTGAATAATTTTGTGATATAAATGTAGTTTCCTGACCACTTCAGTTGGCCCTTCAGATTCTTAGAGGAGTTGCGCCCACTTGTGGACAAATGATCTTCAGAAAATATTTAATATGAAATAAAATCTAAAGCTGATTATAGGCGTATTGTTTCTGTTTGCTGTTTTTTTTTTTATTTACAGCGCTACCGTTTCAATATCAGTGTTTTTATCACTATAATGAGCTTGAATGCCAGTTGCTTCGTTTATTTGTTCGTTTACTGGTTTATTTATTTGAAATATTGCAAAGTTCCCGATTTTATTTAATTTTTATATATATATATATATATATATATATATATATATATATATATATATATATATATATATATATATATATATATATATATATATGATTATTCTTTCTTATTTTGGCATATTAAACTGTGGAAGTCTTAAATCGATTAGTTTCCCGTACAAGCTGCTGATTAAAAAAAATTATGTGTTTTATAGTACGTGATCATGACTCAAACTTTACGGCAGTAAATTACTACTTTATTCTCCACACTGTTCTAATTTCCGGTTATATTTTAAACGTATTTGATCTAGGATTGCAGTTTTAGTTGGAAAAATAATAATAATTTCAGAGGTGAATGTAACCCCTATTGTTAGTAATTACTTTTATAAAATAGGAGCAGTAACATCACAATTGTTTTGTGTTTGTGACAGCGTTGAATACATAACTCTTTATATTGTCCCCGAATTGTTTTTTCGTTGTCACAATATTCCACACATTTATATAGCTTTACCTTACACCCAGGGAGAAACCCATTTAAAAAAAAAAAAATGCCACCCACAATATGGCGGCTAGGTAGACGTATAACGACACTCGAGCAGGGCTTTTATGTCGAGGGACAACATTTGTCATTATGGAATTTTACATTTTGTGTACATTGGGAGTGGGGGGGTAGATAAATATACACGTTATAAAAATGGCTAACTGTCAAGAATAAATTATCAAAAGGCACCGCTGGGATTCGAACCCAGGATCTCCTGTTTACTAGACAGGCGCTTTAACCAACTAAGCCACGGCGCCCTGTGACCGCGAACGCAATATGTGCAATTTTGAATCCAGATACAACAAAGCCTAGATATATCTTTTTTATTTCTCTGGTGCATCACTGATATAAAGTTATAATACTTTAAATAATTGTTTCTACAATATAAACATCGGATTACATATCGAGATCTCAAGTGAAAATATAGTCCAACATAGCAGCAGAGATCTCCAGATCAGACAGGCTGAAGTCGCCTGCCAACTCTTTCAGGCACAGATCAGCCAGGTCGTCCAGAGACTCGTCTTCAAAGCTGAAACCCTGGAGTTCCAGCTCACTCTGAGGGATGTCCGTTGGCTCAACGTGGGCAGCTGCAGTACAATGGCTCACATCTGTATGGGCGTCCTGTGCACATCCTAGTACAGCTTCTAGTTCCTTGTAATCCCAGTCATCGAGTCTATGGGGAGTCGAGTTGTGGTCGTTATCGTTCAAGAAATATAATGCAAACAGATCAGGGGATGAAGGTTGAAGGCTGAAGGTCTGAGGACTTGGAGCTGGGCAGCCAGGTGAGGACAGGAGAGATGGGAATGATGGATCCATGTGGGGCACTGATGGGCTGCAGGGTGTGGAATTATCAAACTCAGATTTTATGCTATCAGAACGGGGGTGCGAGGATTTTCTGGTTTGCTTCTTGCTCTTGAAGTAGCGCGCGCGACGGTTTTGAAACCAGACCTGTTGAATAAATGAAATATAATGTATCAAACATCGTGCTGTAAAATCCCGACTTGATCTCGGTAAGAATATGTAGCACACCTGAATCTTGGACTCAGGTAGGCCGGTCAAATGAGAAAGAGACTCCTTCATTTTGATGTTAGGATACTGAGTGATGGAGAAGGCCCTTTCCAGCTGGCTCAGCTGCGCCTTGTTGAAGGTGGTCCTCTTCCGGCGGCGCCGGTTCTCCGAGCGGTCCCTGAAGGCAGCATCAATGTCAACTGCAGAGAGATCATACGCTTTGATTAAATTCAATTCAGTTTATTTCTATATCATTATTATTTCACAACACATGTCATCTCGAGGCACTTTACAGTTCACCAGATTATCCAGTCAAATTGATTCAAAGTTTTATATCAAAGGAAAACCAGTTGATTACATTGAATCTCTCACACTAAGCATGCTTGTAGCGACAGTGGAGAGGAAAAGCTCCCTTTTAACAGGAAGAAACCTCCAGCAGAACCGGGCTCAGTGAGGGCAGCCATCTGCCGAGGCATTTCTTTCAGGCTCTTGTTGGTGCAGTTTTATATGATACAACGACACGAATACAAATATCAATAACCAAACAAAATTAGATTAAGTCAAAAAAAAAAAAACATCCCCTCCTTTTCACTTACCTCTGCTGAATTCCTGTTGGTTACTGAAGTTGTTCACCTGAGCAGGGAGAGGCCAATAGTCTCCTGAGTATATTGAGATCGCATCAGAAGCATGAACGCCACTATAATCCATTTCATTCGCCATCATCAGACTCAATCCAATCTGTGTCTGCTTGGCACGGTGACAAACAGAAGATTTTATACTTTGCAGAACAGCCTCTCTTGCCCCACCCATCACCGCTCACTAACAACGCGTGTCTTTGATGTGCTCCACTGTTGTTCATGGTTGTCCGCCTGATAGGTGTCAGTTTGCTCCCTAATGGGTCATTAATACACACATACAGATAAGACTGAGCTTGCCCCGACCTAATAATATCAAGATCATCTGATTGGTTTATAATATTGCTTCTGACCACGTTTTGGAGTAAATTGCGCAAGGGTATGGCCTCCATTTAGGAAAACTGAACTATACCCTAAATGTTTATATATATATATAATTAGGTGGTTTTGGTTTTCTTTAATCAACCGAAAACATTTTTTTAAAAGTTGCAACTTTTAAATATGAATCACTTCTTTCTGACACTTCAGTCTGCGGCGCATCCTCTGCCGGGCCTCCCGTTGCGCGTGGAAAACAAATGCGCGCGCGGATGTTAGAAGTGTATTGAAGGAGCCGCGGGGAGTTTGGAGCTGAGCTTTTCTAAAGAAGAGCAAAGGTGATAAAATACTCCGTTTCCTCCTTTTTCTTGACAGTTTTTCACCGATTCAAGAATACCGGATAATGCGCAGTCCAACTGTTGTTCCCCTGTGAAGTGCTATACAGTTTTATTCTGAAACGAACCAAATAAATAAATAAAAACAAAACGGAACTAAAAAGGTTTTTTTTAGGATTATTAAAAATATTTTATATATATATATAAATATCCTTATATTAGCAAGTGATGGGGATTCTGCAGTCACATTACTCCCATCTACCTTAATAGACCATTAAGGCCTTAAAATCCATTGGCAATCACATGACTAGGATTTTTTTCCTCGTATCGATACCAAAATATGCTTTAAAGGTCTCTCGAAACCAGGTCACATGATTTAAACCCATCTTTCACGATCTCTGGCCATCATACTCAAATCTGAAGAGAGGACCTCAAATAATCACACTATTTCACACGATTTTTATAGCCTAACTTAAATGGCACACAGTAATGTACCTCATGGAGACATAAAATAAAAATAAAAAAAAACTAGGCCTACTATAGCCGTCTGGTAAATATGTTCAACATTTAAATCAGACAGATTCCCATTTTACCGTACATATCCTAAGTTTATGTATGTTGCGTTTAAGTTCGCCTGATAACGTTTGTTTCTACTGACTGATGATATGAGAGATCTCCACCAGGGGGCAGTATTAGATAGTTTGCATTTCCCTTCATTTAAAGTGGTTGTTCGGCATTAAAGACGGTTTTAATGCTGTGATTTCAGAAAAAAAAGAATGAGAGATCTAAAAAAGTTTATAAACAATTTAGCTGTAAATTAGAATCAACTTGCATTTTTTAAGATATTTTATGAACATAATATTAGCCTGATATAGTAATTGTGCTACCCTTAATGTCCAACTAACGACTGTTTTTTTGTTGTTGTTGTTTTCACACTGTATTTAGGGGTTAATAATATAATTAACCTTTGTGCTTTGAGTTTATAACCAATCTCTTGTGTAATGACACAATATCCAAAAACAATGCAGAATGTCTGATCTTTGAGAAGCTAGATTATTTGAAGTTATCTAAAAATATAATAAGTCTACTAATGGTTAAGCCATGTGATCACATAGTTTGTTGGATAGAGGTGTTCCACTTTCTCTTGGTTTCTTGTCTGAATTGTTTTTGCCTTCTTCATCTGACTTATTTACTGTAGATCGCAGAATCAACTGCACCTTTTTTTTACATAACCATTTCTATTTGTTTTTAAATACAAATGTGGCTAATTTCAGATTTGCAGCACTTGAGGTACTTTATCCATATGTAACAATATGTTTATTGCTCTACAGGAATTCATGCATTCACTCAGACATGTGGACTCTCTTCAAATATTGCAGTGTTTAGGGCTGACTTTTACACAGTTTTAACCATTAAAAGACGGTACCTTAACTTAAATTCATTGGGGGAGGTTTATTTCCTATTCATATAGATAATAATGACAAAAATCCCACAAAGAAATTTCATTTTTCACAAAATGACAGTACATGTTGTCTAAGTCTAAGCCTAAGTAAGTCAATACACATATTTCCCTCCCCTCTACATGTTAAAAGTGTTCTTCAAAGTCTCAGGTGAGTACACTGACACTGCTCACACAAGTGTGTGTCCACAAACACACCTCACAGGACTCGGTTTTAACACAGAGGCGTGAATGACACTCCGCACTTGGCTTTCTAACCTTCATCCTTGCCGCTGCCTTTACAATACGCAAACAACTCTCCCCAGTTTTCTGTTTCAACTTGAGACCCTGTCCCTATTTTCTCTCAGGAAAGGATAATTATTTTGCAGGGTTTTTGCTTGTGCTTCAAATTCCTCACTCAATGTCCGTAGAGAGAAAAAGAAACTACAATTCAGAAGGAAGAGAAACTGCTGAGCACAGAGACAACTGCACCACAGTGCAGAGAGTTAAGGTGGATTCAGCCCCCCCCTTGAAACTGAAAAAAAAGAAAATAGGATGATTTTTATTCATTGAATAATGCGATATATCTTAAGATATTGGAATATAATTAAAACTTTAATTATTGTCTTATTTATAGTTAGCAACTTGTCATGTATATTTATCAGCCTCATTTGCATCAGATTGAATGTGTTTAAAGTTTTTATTTATAATATTTATCTATATTTTCTGGATGTAAGTGTAAACAAAATGTAGTTTATAGCACATGGATGTCACATAAAAACAAGTTTTTCATGAATGTTAAAAATGTTAGATTATGGCCGTGTAATAGGGAACAGGACAGCTGTCTGACAGACACATCTGCATGGGGAGTAATCTCCTTTTGGCCATTGCTTTAAAAAAGCAACTCTACTTAGAGTGTTATACCGAAGCATATTAGTGGAGAGTTGAGTAAAAAAAATGGTGGCGTCAAAGTCTGCACAAAAGGAAGAACTGCAGCCTTAACTCTCTCATGCATAAATTATAATAAACTCAGCCAGGATGTTTTTACTAAGTGTTTTTATACATCCTTAGGAAAGGAAAACAAGGTCTGCAAAAAAAAGATTCTATCTTTATTCTAAAAATAAATATTTATATGTCCACTCAAGTGAACTTTATACATTTTATACTGTAAAAAAAAATATACTGTATATATTGCTTAGATATAGTTTTAATTTAGTTTTACAGTTTTAATATGATATTCTGTTGGAATAGTTCCTCTACTCCCTGAAATGGCCGAGGTGTTTGGTCTTTTCCCTGTGTGTCGGCCATCTTGGTTTCACAGACTTTTTCTTTTCTTTTTTTCATTGCAATGATCAACAACTGGGGATTTTTCTGTATGTGATAATGCAAAAAACCATTAGATTGGACAGTATGCATAAGTGCCCAATATTATAGATAGATAGATAGATAGATAGATAGATAGATAGATAGATAGATAGATAGATAGATAGATAGATAGATAGATAGATAGATAGATAGATAGATAGATAGATAGATAGATAGATAGATAGATAGATAGATAGATAGATAGATAGATAGATAGATAGAAACATTTTTAAACAACTGTACACTGTAGTGATCACTATACATGAAAGGGTTAAAGGGACTTTGAAACAAAAAGAGGCAAGATTAAAGAAGTATCACAAGCTGTTAATTATGGATGAAGCTTAAACAGCCTCCACATACAAGTCTATCCAAGAGATGCTGAGATGAAGAGGTTGGATAAGCTTTTTGGAAGGTTCAGCTCTGTCCTTGAAAACTTCCTAGATGGTTGACAGTGGTGGTAGACAGAAGGTTCTAAGAAAACCAATGCATGAAGTCTTTGCAGAACAGGAGAACCCATTCAGACTTTTGCATCCCAGATGCACAAAGGAGCATTTCTTGAAGATCGTCCCCCACGGCAGCTGTTAGACTTTATAAACTTTGGTACCCCAACAGGCCAGATCAGAGTTCTCCACCATGCTATCAGTTGGTTCACAGTTTAACTTGAAAATTTATAATTTTTTCCCTTAATATCTCATTCTATGATAACCCCAAATGGTTTTTCCTTTCTTTCCAAGATGTATTCTTCTCTTCTATGGTAAAGTTAAAACTTTGAAATATTGTCCTTTTCGACATAATCATTTCTTGTGTGCCCTGTATGTTTTCTGGCATTTATACAATTGAATATATTTCACTTCAGTGGAACAAAAGTCTATTCTATTCGAATCTATTCTATTCATAAGTCACAATTTCAATTAACTTTAAACACCCATGGAAAAAAGTAAATTGCACCATCATGTAATGACAGGGTATTTATAGGTTGGATAAGCTTATGGGAAGGGTCAGCTCTGTCCGTTTAAAAACACTGGACCGGTTGCCAGTGGTGATAGACAGAAGGGTTATAAAAATACAATGCCTGAAGTTGTTGCAGAACAGGAGAATGTTGTGATTGGCCCGCCATATTTAGGGCCTGGGGCAAGGGCGTCGATTTGATCTCAACTTTGGTAGGGACACTATTGGTGATAAGATGAATTTGTCTGATGTCATTGGTCCTACGCATTATGCATGCTCCTTTTTTTTTATGCTTGACGCACATTTATTTGTATAGCACAATTCAGTACATAGACAATGCAAAGTGCTTTACATGATTAAAATATAGGAAAAAATAAAACAGAATCAAAGCAAGTAGGGGAAAAATTATAGATAAATAATAAAAAATGCAGAAACAAAAAAGAACATTAAAAACTGTTGGACTAAAGAAAAAAAAAAGTTGAACTAATGATGTTTCAGTTGAACAAACAAATTCGTTTTTATTTTTGATTTAAAGGAACTATAAAGCAGCTTTAGCTGTTCTAACTACTCAAACATAGAAAATCTGACCTGGTGGTGGCGCTATGAATAATGTTTTGGACCACTGTCCCTCCTCTCTGATATAACACATCATCACAATTGATGCTGAAATATGCAAACTGAGTCCGGCTGAAGTGGATCAGTCCTGCCCACTCGTGGGTGGGACCTAACGGAGAGCAGAGAGCTGGCTCTGTTTGCACACTGTCATTGTTCAGCCCCGCTGGTAAACGCAGCATTCAGACGTGGAAAGACTTTAAAACTCCCTCTGAAATAATAAAGGTAGGAGATAAACAGTAAGAATAATGTGAGATGTTTCTTTATGTGTGAGGTATGTACAGAAACGATCAGAGGGGCGATGGATCCTTCTGAAAGAGGAAATTAGTCAATATTTTCCTGAAAAGATACAAACGATAAGATGATCGGTGCGGCGGGACTGAGCGGTGAAGGAGAAAGCCGCATCTGACAGCTGCGTGAAACGGCGCAGGTCCGCTAAGCAGCGAGCCTTGAACCGGATGTTAAATGTATGCGGGGTGTGCGGGAGGCAGCCCTGTATACTGCTGTTATGGATCAGGTCAATGGACTCATGTTACTGCGCTTTCTTTGTGTCTGTAAACAAAGGGAGACTGTATCGTGCACGCAACATCATGCAGTTCTGTTGGGGATTTAGTTCACAACAACAGAAATGCTATTTAAAAAACTGAAGCCTTCATGGGTTATATAACGTACATGTTTTAACCTGGTTACTAAACGTTAAAAAGAAGGGTTCCTATGTGTAATGTAGCTATAAAGTTATACTAAGTTATGCACTTTTTTTTGTAGGAAAACTTAGCAGATTCAGTTTGAGTAATGCTTTTGCTTATTCGTTTTGTTGTTTTGTGTATGAGGTTATCAGTCATTTTTTATCATCATAGATATTCAGGTCTAACCTGACTGATGGATTTGCTCCGCATACTGAAACCTTGAAAGCTCGCGAGATCAGGATGGTCTCACGAAGCTAATTCAGGTCATGTTTTCCTTAAAAAAAACTTCACTGAGATTGATAGGCCTTCTTAGGAACAGCTTCTCAAATATCCCACCAGAGCATTCAAATCAGGCTGAGGTCTCTAGACTTTAATCTAAGGCAACAAACTTTTTTATTTTCACTTTTAACTGAATATAACACAGTTTATGTCTTTCTGACACAGTATTGTATGGATCAAAATGCAGCTGTTAGTAGACTGTTTTGAATTAACCCCAGAATACCCCCCCTCTACTGTGCTTCAAAGTTATAAAAGCTGTAACACCCCCACCCCAAAATAATATCACCTAAGTAAATAGGGGCAATAACACAAGGCCTAAGTTACTCAAGTAACTGTAACTAAGTAAATATAACTAAGTAATATAACGTCTGCAAATCATCTGCTCTGATCTCATCTACAAAAAAAAGTGAGAAAAAACTTTTGATTCTTTTGACAGATTCCGGTGCAATTTTTTTTCCAAGGTTTAAACCTTAAAACCTGCTAACTTACGCATAGAAAGTCCAATATGAAGGTGTTGTTTTGTTGTTTTTTAATTCACAAAAACATATGAAAACAGGGTAGATTCACCTGGTTCTGTCCTGGCTATAAGGAATAACTTAAAATTGTCATATTATCCTAACTAGGTTTATTCTCTAAAGTCATAGCTAATGTCTTTCTGTCAGGTTAGGCAGAAGTTTGAGGAGAACCCAAATGCAGGGACTGAAGCTGAGGTGGTTTCATGCAGGTTTATTAAAAAAAAAAGGGTAACGGAAGCAACAATCCACAAAATCCAAAAATACTGAAAACCAGGAATACTCACAAGGGGGCAAAGAAATGACATCAAACCAGCAACAGTGACTGAGCAGGAGGTGCATATATGGGAGAGAGAATAAAAGACCAGGCTAATCAACAGATTGGGAGCAGGTATGAACGAGGAGTCTAGAAGGGAGCTAGGGGAAAGAGACTGGCACAAGAGGGCAAACAAGAATTACCTAAGAACTCAAATACCATAAAAAATAACTAGAATAATGCAAAATGGAAATAAAACCAATAAAAACTCAAAAATAAAACTTAAACAGAACCAAAATCATGACGGTTTCCTTCTTGGCACTATTAAAATACACCTGTATGCTTTCAGACCACTGGGCTTGAGCTTTTACCGAGGTGCTGTCATGGTCCTGGTCTGATTGTTCCTGTTATCCATTTGTTGTCCTCTGCTGCCCTCTTGTGTCCTCCCTTCCTCTGTTTCTCTGTCCTAGTAGTAGTCATGAATCGGTGTTTGTATGGAGGACCCAAACGCAGAGACCAGTAGGCAGAGGTGAATTAAAGTGGTTTTATTAAATCCAGGAGCAGATCCAGGATCAGGAATCAGAGTCCAAAAGTAAACAGCAAACAAACCTGAACCAAGGAGACATCAGTGGTAAATCCAAACTAGGAGCCAGGGAGAGATGAGGTACACAGACATAAGTTAGACAGGATGTTTGACGAGGATCCAGCAAACAGGAACTGAACAGGGAGGGCTTTTAAAGGGGACAGAGACAGAGAGAGAGCTGACGAGGAAATTGGCAGCAGGTGCTTGGCAGGACAGAGAAACAGAGGAAGGGAGGACACAAGAGGGCAGCAGAGGACAACAAATGGATAACAGGAACAATCAGACCAGGACCATGACAGGTGCCTGCTTGTACTTATACCATCATGTGGGAGCAATAAGGGAGTCCTCAGTTCTATGGTGTTAATAATTCTATTTTCATAAGTTTTGGTTTTACTCTTGTGTCTTTATTTTGTGTTTAAATATAAATAGCTAATAATTGGTAGCTTTGTACTTTGGTTTTAGGATGTCTCGAGAGCAACAGGCAGTGGCTCGGGCCAGGAAAGCCTTTGAAACAGGACGGTCCAGATCTCTGGAGTACCGGATCCTCCAGCTGAAGAACCTGCAGCGCTTATTTGAAGAAAAGCAGAAAGAGATAGCAGAAGCTTGCAAGAAAGATCTCAATAAAGTGAGTAATGACTGAATAATATGCATATTTGACTAGTTTTTTTTTTTTTTCAAATAAGAGTAAACCTCCTTGGAATGACTAACTAAATGACTTTAACTAAAAAGTCTTTAGCTTTGAAAGATAAAGATGATAAAATGGTTTTGCCTCATCATTTAACATTTGTAAGGTAATAATCCATTACTATACATCCTCAGAAAGCAGACATCAGTCTCTTGAAATAATCTCTCACAATTTGAAATAAGTCATATATCAAAACTCACCTATCAACTTGAATTTTTGTGATTATGCAACATAGTTTTCGTTTAGTTTCATTTCAATTTCACATCTTCTGTTCTCTTATGTCAGTGTTTGTTTCCCCCTGGTTGGCTCATGAAGGCACTATTTAATTTTCAACACCTACTTCAGTAGTTAAGGTCTTTGTTTTCGTTGCTTCTCGTCTGATTCGTCTGTTTCATCCCCCTTGTTTTATGTCCTGCTCTCTCTGTGATAATCCATTAAGTTTTTTTCTGTTGAAAGTCTGCTGGCTTCCACCTCTGTCAGTGTTTATATTTAGGTTTGCTAACAAACACTTAGGCTCCCTCTTACATTTTCCTAATTGGTTGCATTAGAGAGAAGAATCAGTGACATGTCTGCTGTGTTCCTTGGCCTTTTCGTCACAGGTTGCCTCCATGCATTGATTAGAACTTGGTTGTACTGGATTTAATGTTAATTGTTAATGTTAATTTTTGCAGCTGCAGAATGTTTTTTGTTTTTCTTGAGTCCATTTATGATTCATTCACTGAAGTCCAAAGTGCATTTCTCCATTTGTGCCCTCAGTCTTGCTAGTGTATCAGCTATCTGTAAACCTCACATCATTATGTCCATTATCAGAGTGAAGTGGGGATGCAGATGTATGAGACTCTGGGTCTGGAGGGGGAAATCAGCCTGGCCGTACGGAAGCTGAAGGAATGGGCTGCTCCACGTCCTGTAGAGAAGAATCTGCTGACACTCTCTGACACGGTGTACATCCAACCCGAGCCACTAGGGGTGGTGCTGATTATCGGGGCCTGGAACTACCCATGGGCGGTCACCATCCAGCCGCTTATTGGAGCTATCGCAGCAGGTACTGCGGCATGTTTTATGAAATGCAAATAGAATGAGCCGTGCAGATACCTGAAATTTTTCTGCTTTCTACCACCAGAGGAATTTTTGCACCCACTCTGACACTAATGGCATTAAAGCAATTGACCATGAGCAATATCCTGCAAAGTTAGGAAGTTCATTGGTCTAAAATATCTAAATGCAATGGCTTAATCACCCTTCAGCTTACAGTCCACTTCTTCAGAGTTCTGCCAACATCTATATTAGTTAATGCAGATATGATAAAACAGATGTGCAGCTAAAAAGCAGCAAAATGAAAATATAATTAACTTTTGACTTATATACTGTAGCACCAATCACAAAACATGTAATCTCCAGGCACTTCAAAGAGTCAATTCAATCAAATTGTCCAGAAAGAAAGATAACTGCATCGACTCGTTTACCTGCTAAATTAACTCCTCGTGGATGAGGACATAGCTGCAGTAGAGATCCATTGTTGGTTTTACAGCAATCCCTCATACAGAGCAAGCATGCAGTGACACTGGACCCTTTTGGGCTGAAATATCCAGCAGAACCAGGCTCATTGTGAACGTAACTCAAAAAGTTTAGATCATGTCATGTCGAAGCCCAGTAAAAAACACAGAAAGCTAAACTTTAAAGTTTACAGTATTTAGGTTACAGCTTAAAGTTTTAAAACATTTTTAAAAAGCCTAAGCCCTGAATGTTTTTGTTAAAGAAAGAAAATAAAAATAGAGATATGTAAAATCTACCACAAAGGGGGATGCTAGTCGTGTGGTAGAGTTATAGAAGCATAACTAAAGCAACAGGTCAGGATAACCTGAGGCACTTTGACTAAGAGATTTTGATCCAAAATGAAAGCCTTAAATATAGACTAAAACAGATGGTTGGAGAAGAGCAGATTGAGAGCGAAGTGCTCTGTTAGGAACAATCAGATCTCTGATATTAGACGGATCTTAGTTATTTAGGGAGTTTATACTATGGTAGAAGGACAAGTTCACATGCTTTTCTTGATTTAACAGGAAGCCAATGAAGGAAATAATTGGAGAGGCCTGTTCTAAGGCCCGTCTTATGATCAGCACTGCTCCGCTTCCTCTTTTGTCCAGAGCTCTGTCCAATGCTTCATATTTTCATGCAGATAAGTGGGTCAAAGCTCATGCTGTGAACTCTGCACCACAATCATCACTGCAGAGTTTTAGAGATTAACGAACCAGTTACTGAAGAAAATCTGCTTTCAGAAATTGAAGTTTATTTATAATAACAAGCAGTCTGTGTTTGGAAGTGTGAGCGTGAACATTTAAAATGAAGCTTTATGCAGTTGAGTAATGACATGAATAACTCAATCCTCCCACTTTAGAGCCACCCGCTGAGGCTCTAAAACAAATGTTTAGGCTCATCTCTCCTTTCTTTGTGATGCAAACCTCAGGATAGGGAGCGGCCTCTCTGCTGCTGATCAGGACGGTCGTAGCTTTACTTCAGTGCTCTGAATTCTGCAGCTGCCTGTATGTACTTCTGGGATAAGTACTACTCAGGTTCAAATATTCAGAGGGAGAGGAATGAGCCCTGCGGTGAGTGGGGGGGCGTGTTTGCACATGACGGACTTTGCGCTGTCGGTATCAAACTTTAACACACGTCTGTATCAGCCTGGTAGGTCAGAAGTCTTTGATAAACTAAGAAAATAAAATAACTCTTTAGGTCAAAAGTCAGCACCCTCTTCAGGTGTGCTGAAGTGACTAAATTTGTTGGTTAGTGTTGTGAAAAATAAACTGTATTTTCTAATAAGGTGCTGACATATATGCTTAAAGGGTTTAATAAAAAAGACCAAAACAAATAAACACAAAGTTGAATTAGTTTTTTTTTTAACTTGCATAAGATATAATCATTACACCAGTGCTAAGTCCAAAGGATACTGCAGTTAAAGTCGGTTATGCAAGAATCTGAGGCTGTTGGCAGAGGTGGTGATGAGCTGTCTGAGCCTTTAATGCCTCGAGGAAATGAAGATGGATTAATGGAGCCGTCCAAGTGTCAGGGATACAAGTCCTAAATAACCGCATTGTGATGCTGCAGAAGTATTTATATGTAGGGCTGCAACTAGTTTTTTTTTATTTTGCAAACAAATTGATTAATCTGTCGATTTTTTTTTTCCTTCGATGAATCGACTAATAATCTGATAGCCAAAGGTTCCTCTAGGAAGATTTTTTTACAAAATTAAACTGGTCATACTTTTCCACTTGCAGAGTTCTGAATGTTGACATATGAAACCTTTATGTTAAATGCAAAATCTTTATATATTTTTGGATAATTTTGATATAATTACTGCTTTAGGTGGGTGTCTCAGACAGCTAAAGGCATATTTTACAGTCTCTATACTCCAGTTAATGATTAATCGATTACTAAATTAGTTGACAGTTATTTTAATAATCGATTAATCATGATTAATTGTATCTGCCCTATTTATGTGTTATACTGTTTCAGAATATGCTGGTGAAGATTCTCATTCATCCAGGTCATAGTCCAGGAAGCTTTCCCAATTCAAAATGTCTGAATGACATTTTGAATTGAGAAAGCTTCCTGGAGGGTAAGCAAAACGTCTTCAAACCTTGGAAACAAAGTCCAGTGGATTGTTTTTGAAACTTTTACGGAATGATTCAGAATCTTGTCAAATTACAACCGTAGACTTCAACGATTTTTTTATGTGCTGGATCAGCATTCAGTGGTACATTAATGTAAAATCAAAGGAAAATGGTTTTTATTCATCAGAAATAACAGTCTGAAAGGTCCCAAGACATTTTATTATGTTATTTAATCTGAATAGACGAATCTGCTTACTTTTTAAGGAATTTTAACTTAATCAAATGCCATTTTAATCCTTGTGTTTCTACCTGAGGTCACAGGTCAACCTTGGTATTTTAGATTCCTAGTAGATGTACACACACTCACAGTGTATGTGTGTGTGTATGCGTGAATGGGTGAATGACTGAATGTAGTGTAAAGTGCTTTGGTCAAGTCTCCTGACTTGAAAAAGCGCTATATAAGTATGGGCCATTTACTATAAATAATAACATTTCTCTTTTTAAGCTTGTCTTGATCAATTAGCTTAGACAATTTCAGCGTGGAGAAGTTAACCGCATCAATTATGGTTGCAGCATTAGAAAACAGAACATTTCCCTCCTATAATATCTTTTGTTTTACTTGCCCAGGCAACGCAGCTGTGGTGAAGCCCTCAGAAGTCTGCGTACACACTTCAAAAGTCATGGAGGAACTCTTGCCTATTTATATCGATAAGGTAAAGGATGAACCTCGAAAGACCCAGATATTCTGGACCCAATATTCTGATATAGTTTGAAGCCCATCTTGCAAATATAAGAAATATGGTACAGTAAGAGTATTTTTAATATAGGAAAAAAAAAACAATGAGTTGATAGTGCCATCAAGAGTGACACCTCTAACAGTACCAAACTCCTGGATTACAGATACAGAAGATGAATTGGGATTCAAAAAAGCAAAAATGGGATAAGGACCTTTGGTGTTGGGACATCCTGAATAAAACAATTGTTTCAATAAAAATAAAGTAAACATTTGTCAAACCGAATTCAATTAGATCCACACATAGACAAATGCAAGTCATAAATCATCAGGTCACATCAAGTTTTTATCTAAAGTCAATTAATAAATAATTTAACAGCCTTTGCCAAAACTGTCCAAGTCTGCCCAAGTCTTATCAGAGCAAAGGACAAGGACTGATAAAAGCTGCATATCATTTTAGACTTAACTTTACCCTTAACTGCAAACATGAAAATTATCTAATCATTATCTAGAGGTTTAAACCCTGTGCATGGCTAAATCAAAACTGTTCTACAAATGAAGTATGACTTACTAGTGCAGCCTAATTATGCTAACAAGCCTCATTGTTGTTTTTACTGTACCTCTAATAGTTCAGTGGCCTGAAAAACAGACGGTTTGTCTTGACATAGTGGTTAAAACTTAAACTTTTAAACAGTCTTAAAAAGTTTTTAAATTAGACTAAATTATAGAGGAGTATGAAAAAAATATTAGCCCTAAACTCTCAACTATTAAGTAATCGATCCATTTATCTATTCAGCTATTTGTCAATCAATTCTTGTTTTACACTGCGTGTGCAAAAATCTTTTTTCCTGCAGGTTTTGTGTTCAAAGTGTGACCACACTGCAAAAAAAATGGAAATATCAATAGTCCGTTTTTTTTTTTTTTTCATTTTTAAAGTGCATTTCCTCTTGAATTGAAGTGTTACATTAGACAGTTTGCCAATGGAACAATTTACACTTAAGATAAAAAAAATTAAATTTTGTCTGGATTTGGTTGAGGCTTTGAGGACCCAAGTGCAGAGGTGAGTTCTTGAAGTTTTAATTAAGTACTCACAGGCAACTGAGGCAGGAATCCAATAATAAAACATAACAAAATACAGAAAAACCAGAACCTTGGAGACATCAGGGGAAACAAACATGAGGAGCCAGGAAAAGTTGAGGAACCAGCACTGAGGAACTGCACAGGGAGAGTACTTATGGCTGACTGAACAAAGACAGGACTAATGAGATGATTGGGAGCAGGTGTGAACAGAGGCTTCTAGAAAGGAGCTAGGGAAAAGGAGACAAACACAAGAGGGCAACAGAGGGCAATCAAAAAATACCTAAGAACTCAAATATATCCAGAAAACACAACTAAACAGGAATTAAACCAATAAAACTAGAAAACATGGATCAACGTGAAACTGAAAACTCAAAGAAAACTTAAAGGAACCAGGACTGTGACAGCATTGTCTTTTTTCAACTGAATATTATCTACTTATCTTATTTTAAGAGTAAAAATACTCATTGTATTGGCAAATCATTTTATTTACCTGCTGAAATTAAGGATAAATACACTTAATTCAAGAATTTTGTACTTATTTCTAGATTGTTTTTGCAGTGCTGAATTTAGAACTTAGGATGAAATTCCAGCAGAATCTTAGCTGGAGATAATTTCTTAATTTAAGCCCCTAAATTAGAAGTCCAAAATTAAACCCAGACATAAGAGATAAATAAATGTCTTCTGGTATGAAATTGTTTAATTTAATTTAATTTTTTTCTGTATCTGAACAGTCGGGATAAAAGTAAAACTCATAGAGAAGTTTTGAATTTACTCCATTTTTCATTTTTGGTGTTAGGAGCTTTACCCCGTCGTTACTGGAGGGGTTCCAGAGACCCAGGAGCTGCTGCGCCAACGATTCGATCACATCTTCTACACCGGCAACGGTACGGTTGGCAAAGTGATCATGGAGGCCGCAGCCAAACACCTGACCCCTGTCACCCTGGAGCTGGGCGGCAAGAGCCCCTGCTACATCGACAGGAACTGTGACATTACCACAGCCTGCAGGTCCTATTACATTTTACATTTTCAGTTTCCCCACTCCTGGTGTAGAACGCTTCAAAATTTATCATTTGCCTTTGTGTTGTATTTTATGTAAATCGTTCTATTGAATTAACTCACTGTTTTCTATGCTCCCTGCTGTTCAGACGGATCACCTGGGGAAAGTACACAAACTGCGGTCAGACCTGCATCGCCCCAGACTACATCCTCTGCGAGCCAAGCATCCAGGACCGGGTCATTGAGGAAATCAAGAAATCCATCAAGGTACAAGATAATCCACTCTAGGTGTTTGCACCAATGCTATGGTAAATGCATGATGAGATGATGCAGCCTGCAATGGAAGAGGTGCTTAGTTTCATATTTGGATCAATTTTCTGCCAGGATTTTTACACAGACGACCCAAAGACATGCCCTGACTACGGACGCATCATCAACCAGCGGCACTTTAAAAGGATTATGGCCATGATGGAGGGCAGCACGGTGGCAGCAGGAGGAGACAGCAACGAGTCAGACTGCTTTATTGGTAAAACACCAACCCAAAAAACACAGGTTTTATTAACACTTGTACCTCAGACCTGAAATATCAAAGCAAGCATAGAAGTATGACTGAATTTTCCTTGATGTAGGTAAAGCGAGAGATTACATTTGGAGGATTTCCTCCAGCTAATCCCAGTAGTTGTGTGGAAAACATTGTTTTCTTGTTGCATTTAGCTCCCACTATACTACGGGATGTGAAGCCTGAGGCCAAGGTGATGCAGGAAGAGATATTTGGACCTCTGCTTCCCATCCTTCCTGTCAGTGGTTTGGATGAGGCCATCAAGTTGATCAATAAGGGAGAAAAACCTCTGGCACTGTATGTCTTCTCTCCAGATGACAAGGTAACTCTAAGTAGACAATGACTGTAGAGCATTTGCAACACACAATTTATGTAGAGGTAGCAGATGAAAAAAGCAAAACACACAATTATATTGTCCCTGAATTTGTTGATCCAATGTAGAAATCTAGGAGGAGCTGTCTTATAGAATAGAATTCAACTTTATTGTCATTAGATTGTCACAAGTACAAGGCAAAGAAATTAACTCTCATTGCAGCCGTGGGTTGCCATTGTGTGGCGCCCGCGGAGCAGTGGGATTAAGGGTTTTTGCTCAGTGACACAGAATGGCAGTCCATGGCAGTGGGGGTTGAATTCAGAACCTATATATATATATATATATATATATATATATATATATATATATATATATATATATATATATATATATATATATATATATATATATATATATATATATGTATATATATATATATATATATATATATATATATATATATATATATATATATATATATATATATATATATATATATATATATATATATATATCAAATATATTTTAAATATCTAATTTTTCACATATATATATTATTTTTTTAAAGCATATATATATATATATATTCTCAGGAGCTAAATTAAAATTAAAACATTCCCTGAGCATCAAAATAGCATGTTTCTAAATATATGAACTGAATGCACTCAGTAAAACACAAGACAAATTTATTTTCACATATCTAAGACAATCACAGGCTTGTTTTTTAATTTGATTATTTTTTTTAAAGCATAAAATTATGAAAAAAGTTTTTTCTAAAGCCAGCTGAAACAACCAAACACACAAAGTGAGATCTACACCGATCTAGACGTATCTCTTTGTTAATGTCCTGGGAGTCACTTATTTGTTGTTGCTTTGTTATTTTAGTAATTTTGGTTAGGAACTCACCAGGATGTGTTGTTTTTGAATATATTATAGCCCCTTAAACGTCATAATTTCTAACTCAATGATTATTTAATTTAGATTCTTATTTAAGTCTAATATCCTTGAGATTAAAAATAGCTTCACAGTAAAAAAAAAAAAGATAAATAAGATTAACAAAGAAAATTTTTTTATTGCACTGATTGTCATTTGTGTTAAAACTAAACAAATTAAAGCCACAGGCGGCATTGCACGGCCCCACTGATCTCTGTTTATTCACTGGGTTGCTGATTGCCTGTTGGTTGTATGGGGGGGAGTCAAGACACCGGCTGCCATATTGATACTCCCTAGTTAGACTGGTCGCAATGTAAATAATACACTATATTGCCAAAAGTATTTGCTCACCCATCCAAATTATTGGAATCAGGTGTTCCAATCACTTCCATGGCCACAGGTGTATAAATTCAAGCACCTAGGCATGCAGACTGTTTTTACAAACATTTGTGAAAGAATGGGTCGCTCTCAGGAGCTCAGTGAATTCCAGCGTGGAACTGTGATAGGATGCCACCTGTGCAACAAATCCAGTCGTGAAATTTCCTCGCTCCTAAATATTCCACAGTCAACTGTCAGCTGTATTATAAGAAAATGGAAGTGTTTGGGAACGACAGCAACTCAGCCACGAAGTGGTAGGCCACGTAAACTGACGGAGCGGGGTCAGCGGATGCTGACGCGCATAGTGCGAAGAGGTCGCCAACTTTCTGCAGAGTCAATCACTACAGACCTCCAAACTTCATGTGGCCTTCAGATTAGCTCAAGAACAGTGCGCAGAGAGCTTCATGGAATGGGTTTCCATGGTCGAGCAGCTGCATCCAAGCCATACATCACCAAGTGCAATGCAAAGCGTCGGATGCGGTGGTGTAAAGCACGCCGCCACTGGACTCTAGAGCAGTGGAGACGCGTTCTCTGGAGTGACGAATCGCGCTTCTCCATCTGGCAATCTGATGGACGGGTCTGGGTTTGGCGGTTGCCAGGAGAACGGTACTTGTCTGACTGCATTGTGCCAAGTGTAAAGTTTGGTGGAGGGGGGATTATGGTGTGGGGTTGTTTTTCAGGAGCTGGGCTTGGCCCCTTAGTTCCAGTGAAAGGAACTCTGAATGCTTCAGCATACCAAGACATTTTGGACAATTCCATGCTCCCAACTTTGTGGGAACAGTTTGGAGCTGGCCCCTTCCTCTTCCAACATGACTGTGCACCAGTGCACAAAGCAAGGTCCATAAAGACATGGATGACAGAGTCTGGTGTGGATGAACTTGACTGGCCTGCACAGAGTCCTGACCTCAACCCGATAGAACACCTTTGGGATGAATTAGAGCGGAGACTGAGAGCCAGGCCTTCTCGTCCAACATCAGTGTGCGACCTCACAAATGCGCTTCTGGAAGAATGGTCAAAAATTCCCATAAACACACTCCTAAACCTTGTGGACAGCCTTCCCAGAAGAGTTGAAGCTGTTCTAGCTGCAAAGGGTGGACCGACGTCATATTGAACCCTATGGATTAGGAACGGGATGTCACTTAAGCTCATATGTGAGTCAAGGCAGGTGAGCAAATACTTTTGGCAATATAGTGTACGTGCGCCACAGAATCAATGATCATGTTCTCATTTTCAAGGGGACTTAAGACTTTTAAAATAAAGATACATTAATCACTTGTACACACTCTTGCGCTGTTTCATAGCATAAATAGATTACTGCAATTTACTGTAATGAAAAAAAAATAGGCACATAACATTTCATGTCATTATGAAGCAATGAAGTATATAAATCATGTAATATAACAAATTATACAAATCCATCTCCATGTGTTAATGGAGCATAATAATACTGATGTGCCAAAAGTACTAAATTAATTATGTACATGTAATATACATGTATTAATGAAATTGTTGTGGTAATTACATATGATTTCAAATTTTTACATATTTGCAAATTGTGCATGCATGATGCCATATACTTTTAAGCTGTCTGTGCATTAGCCTTTAAAAATGTTTGAGTTGCTTTTTTTCGTCAAAATAACAAGCAATATATTTCAGCACATGAGTTTTTCAAATGAAAAATACAACAAACACTAAAAAAACAACAGCGTCTTCCCCTTAATAATAAATTACTACTTTGAAATTTCACAGTGAATTACTTTCTATTTACTCTATATTTCTATTTTCATGATGTTAGACACAATCTCGATAGCTACCTGAGACAGCCAGACTGTTACACTATATACTATACTGTACAATACACCAGCGTATATATGGATTTTCTTGGTTAGTACATCCACTGACTGTAAAATTACCTGTGAAACGTCTTCCCACAGCTGGCAAACTATTTGTTTTTGCAGCCAAATGCTACACAAGTAGCCATTTTTATGGTAAGTTTAAGTGGGAAGGGGAGTACTAATATGGCGTCCAGTGTCTTTGTTTATTTCGGGCTATCAGCAATCCAGTGAATAACTAGAGACCAGTGGAGGGCCTCTGCAGCTCAGCACTGCTCGGCCTATCGCAGCGGGATTCGCGCATCGCCCACCTCCGTGTGTCTTCCCAGCCTCCCGACAAGTTCAACTCTTGTCCAGTGGATGGCAGTATGAGTAGGGGACCAATTGAGCTTTAGTAAGGAAGGGTTAAACTCCAGATAAAAGACTTAAACAGAGCCTCATGAACTGTGAACTGGTGAATTAAATAGCTCTCAGCTGATGGAGTTCAATACTTAGATACATGTAGTGCATGGGATTTGAATTGACATTTTATTCCCCTGAAGGTGATCAACAGAATGAGAGACGAGACGTCCAGCGGAGGATTCCTGGCCAACGATTGTCTGGTTCATTTTTCTGTCAGCTCGCTGCCATTTGGAGGAGTGGGTGCGTCCACACAGGCCTCCAATTCTTACACGACTTTTGACAGCTTAAGTTGAGTCTATTTCCTCATTTGGTTCTCTGTGAATACTGTTGACCAGGAAACAGCGGCATGGGCTGCTACCACGGCAAGTATACTTTCGACCAGCTGAGCCACCTGCGTGGGTGTCTCATTAAGAAGCTGAAGATGGAGGGAGTGAACGACATGCGCTACCCACCGCACACACCCAAGAAACTGGGCTGGGCCCGCTTCTTCATCACAAAGACCTTTGACCTCGGCTGGCTGGGGAAGATGTTGCTCCTGGCCCTGCTGGCTGTGGTGGCGGCTGTTGCCATTCAGGTAAATGTTCTTTTCAAACGTCCTAAAGATTCCCACTCATGGACACAACCTTCCACTTGTTTTCCCAAATCACATGATCCATGATCAGTTAATGAGAAGAGGGATGGATTTAATGTTGGGCCTAAATAACCTCTTATAGCCTTAGATCTGTCTCTGTGCTGCTTCAGATTATGCAGCAAGACTTTTTCTATTTGTTTAAAGGATTTACAATTAACTGTTTGGGTTTAGTGTCAGCCTACAGAATGAAAAAAAGAAAGTTTAAATCACTAAGAAAACTTTTATATATCCGATGTAAGAGGTAAAAAAATATTTAAATACTTTGATTTTAATGTCAGAGTTTCATTATAATGTATGTAGAAATGCATTAGTTTTAATACTGAACAAAATGCCGGATTATTCTTCACAAAAGAAAGCAGAAATAATCACTTTCTCCCTTAACCCTTTATAGGGCACTCAGTGAAATACTTTGAAAATTAAAATATCAAGCTAAGAGTTTTATTGCAGGACAGGACAAGACCTTATTGATTTTGTAACTTAAAAAAAAAAAGAAAAGGTTTATTTTCATGGTAAAAATTAAGGTAAATGTAAAGAAACGACCACTTGCCCTTAATATATGTATAATATATAAAAATAACAAAAGTGCCTCCATAAGAAATACTTGAAACACTTTTTTTCCTTTTTACTTAACTTTTTTCTTTACTTGTTACCTTTTCAATTAGCCTTTTGACTTTCAATGATCTTTTTGCCTTTTTTTCTTAACTTTTAAACTTTTTTTTAAACTTAATTTACAGTAGGTAACATATTAATCAAGGGCTCATCTAATTGGTCAAATGCCAAAAATAACATGTACACCTGCATACATGTATTACGGTAACCTGCCCTTGTTTGTTTTTTTAACAGCTCCTACAGCAGCTAATGATGCCTTTAGGCTTCACCAATTATAATGCATCTCCCTTACAGTTAAAAATAATAATGCTGTTCAGCAACACTTTTTGTTATATTGAATCTTAATTTCAAATCTCCCTAGATCTCCAACTTTCAAGGTTTGAAAGCACGCTCTCCAACATTACCAACCATAGCTTTGATAATATGTTAGTAAAAAGCATTTTTGATGTAGATGGAGTGCAGTTTACAACTCATTCGATGCTAAAGAATAATTGAACTTTATTTTTCTTCCATTGGAGAAATTTAACTTTGCATTTAGTCCATAAACTTGGGGAGCAGTGGGCTGCCATTGTGCAGCGCCCAGGGAGCAGTGTGGGCTTAAGGGCCTTGCTCAGAAAGCCAGAGTGGCAGTCTGTGGGACTGAGGCTTGAACTTAGAACCTCTGGATTCCAAACTCTTTCCTTAACCACTAGGCCAACACTGCCCATACACAGCATAGAAACACAGCATGTAGATAGTAAAGCATTAAATCTTTAAATTTTATTTCAAAGCATTTTCCATCAGATAAGAATGCAGAATTAAAAATCTCTTTTTTTGGTTTGCAGAGATATCTCCGCTGAGGACATCCTTCCCTCTGCCAGAGGCTCACGTCTAGTTTACGGCCGTCTTCCTTTCCTGCTTTAGAAGGAAAAAATATCAGAGTTAATATAGACAAATTATAGTAAGTCAAGCCTTTTTCAGTAACATGATGGCCGTTCTCTGGCTGTTGCCTTAAGTCCGTTTTCCAGGTTTCCATCCGTTTCTCCAGTGATGGAGCTTCAGTGTTGGAGGAAACTGGTCTGGTTTATTCTCTTGTATCCATGTTTCTTTTTTTCACTAATTTTTGTAACCTATTGGAAGTTTGCACTTTGAAGGATGTAAAATGAAGACAGATATGATGAAGTAACTGAACAGGCTCATGGTAGCTTAAAAAATAACATTTCCGTATAAAAACTTTAAACATTTACGTTTTGCTATTTAATTAAGGGGGGTTTTAAAAAATAAGCAGCTGGATCCAGGATTTTGTTTTGAATGTAGTTCTGGTGACATCAGCTTTGATAAACTTCTGTCTTCGAGTTCGGTTTCTGAACCAAACAGAATCACATGAAGGATGTTTTTACTTAAACTGTGCTTTATGTACGGTAGATACGGTAAATATAAGCAAGAGTTTAAACATGTTTTATCGCACCATAACATTTCAAAAAAAATGTAATTAATCAAATAATAAGCATGTTTTAAATATAATTAAAATATATTTCTACTTTCTTTGCGACTTGTGTCTTTTCTTTTATTTCAAACATATTTTGTTTTAAATCTCTAAAAAGAGGAAAATCAATTCTATTTACTTAAAAGGTAAAATGTAAATTTTAATTTGGAGAGACTCTAAGAAAAAAACAGCAGTTAGATAGTTTAGACATGAAGAAATGTAAAATGAACTTCTGTTAGAGGTAATTTCAATGCACCCATTTCATTTTCTTTTTTTTTGTCTGTCGATCATCTCAGTTAAATTTGTGGTAGAAAAACATTTGTTTACTTTTGGTGAAACCATTCCTGATCTTGATGTGGATGGATGCTTGAAGGAGGGTGACCAGATGCCTGCGGTTTGTGTTGGGACACTTCTGACCTATCATCCCACGGATCAAAATAATGCTCTGCATATGAGTGGATCAAATATGGAAAAAATGTCCAAAAAATGCACCAAACGAGAAGAAATCAGAGCTGCACTGTAAGAGCTGTGCTCTGCCCCAAGTCATGACAAAGCTGCTCACGATGCCCTTAAAAGAGAACAGTTAAAGGATTTTAAACACACAGGAGATAAACGACATTAGGTTAAAGAGAAGGAAACTGAGTCACAATTACCGGAAGGGTTTATAACTGAGCATTTTGTGAAGTTTGCCAAAGCTGTTGTTCCAATTTCATACAAGAATAGCAAAATGTAAAGTAACCCTGTAAAAGTGAGTCACAAAAGAAACACACAGCTGAACAACCAGCGTCTGTCCTGCATAAACATTTAAGCTTTCCAACTAGTTGTGTTTGTTTTGTTTTTTAATATGTCACCCTGGCTTGGAGATGAATACGGAACCAAAATATTCATGGTTCTCTACACCTTGATTTAAACTCCAGTATAAACCAGTATTATAGTGCAAATGAAGAAGAAAGAGAAACAAATTCAGCTAAACAACTAATTGATAATTAGTATTAATTTATTTATATTAATTTCCAAAATATTTGGAAATTATGTGATGTTGATTAGTTGTACATTTGTGGAAAAAACACAGAATATTTTAGATTAATTTATGAACAAACCTTAGAATTGTTCAAAGTTGAGAAGTCTGAATTTTGGAGTTATTTCCCTTAAAAGAGAAAACTTTATTCTTATTATTACAAATTTAAATATATTTTAATATTCTTTAAAATTAAAATAAACCATTGCCTTTAATTGGTTATTTGGAAATTTGTCATTAAATATTTTACAAACGGCTTGAAAAGGTGTTGAAATTCTAAGAAAAACTTATATACTGTATATACATATGGATAGATAGTTTCACTTCATTACTCTGACCACTAGAGGTCACCAAACTCCACCCTGCTGGCCTTTTTGGCTCAATAATCATTTTTGGTTACATTTTTCTAAATGTTTTAAAAGCTTTCATTTGTAAATCGTATTCTTAATAAATTTCCTTTTTTTCAATGGGGAGAGAATAAATCAGTTTTTTATGATATGATACTTTTATGACCAGCATGAAGTCTGCTTATGATTGTAGCTTTTATTTGTGTTTGCTGGTAATGACCCATGACAATTTAAAAATAATGTCTATGCTCTAAATGTTTTAAACCCTCTGCATTAAGACTCATCTATAGTTTTGACATCTTTTATCTGAGCACCTTTGATTTGAGTGTCTTAATTAAAGGCAGTGTCACAAGAATAAGCTCTGTGGTTTAATCACAGAATAATATTTAACGATACAGTGCACTGATTACTCTTTAAGTATGTTCTGGTAAGGAAAAACATTCATACTGATTTTTTTGAGTAATCTTTTAAATGATGCACAGATCTGCAAGATTTTTATAAGCATTTATAAAAATATATATTCATGCAGTTATTAATAATGAAGTAAGGTAGATTTATGATGCCATCCTGAGTGTTTGTATATGTAAACAAAGACTAATAATGGACCTACTACTAAGCAGTTTTCAGTACAGAATTACTAAATCTCTAGATTTATGGGTGGGTGGTTGAGTTTGGGAAATTTAACTTCTTTAAAATGGATTTTAAAAAATGTGAAACTATTACTAGTAGCTCAGAGTACATGTGGGGCCATTTTCCATCCTGGACAAATGTAGATATTGCAAATTTTCAATAGGACTGATTTGGCTGTTCAATAAATATTATAAGAGTTTAAGATGTTCTACTTATTCAGCAAGGTTTTATCTTTTTTTATATTTGACCCGTAACAGATTTATTTTTGGAATCTGATTCAATGTATTTAAATCTGTCCCAACTTAAAGAATAATTGTTGTTCTGTTATTTCTCCTGTTTAATTTTCTTATATTTTCACTAGAATCACTTTAACATCATATTTATCTCAAACTAGAAGATAAAATATAACCTAAAATATATTAATTATCTGGGTCTTTATTTTTACTTGACAGTTTAACAAAGGCCACAGTAGATTTCTTGGAAGGTTTGGCCCCTCAAACAAATCACGGTTTTCAGTTTCAAAGGAGCCATTGTGGCCCTGTGTAAGTAAAGCATCAGTGTTTCTAAGCATTCATGAAGGCATTTAATTCCAATAAATGACTGGGAAAGCTGTTTTAGCAAGCCTTCAATGAGGCTGGAAAGTTACCGAATACCCCTGAGCTCAAGAGTCAAACTGCAAGCTGAGGGTGGGACAAACATGCAGCATTACTATGGAAACAGACGCTGCAAAATGTAAAAAAAAAAATGGCAGATTTTTTTAGTAAGACAAGATGGAGGTTGGAAAGGTGCAAAGACATCAATAAAATGGGAAAGGTAAGATGCTGAACTTTGCCTGCAAATGGGGGGAATTTATCATTAGGCAATACTAGGCAGTTGCCTAGGAACCCAGGTTCCTGGGGGCCCCATAAAACTGTTTACATGTATGGTTAATACAACTATTCCCTTTTGTGCACATTGTTTTTTAAAGATGTTCAGAAAGGTCCAAACAGACAGCAGCAAACCATTTGAAAACAAACGGTGTGAAGAGCAGTGTTGGGAACTTAGCACTTTTGTCGCTATATTTAGTGACTTTTCAGACCGCTCTAGTTCTTTTATTTCAAAACAGCACCTTGCGCTAAATCTAGCAACTTTTTTCTGCTACTGGAGACTTTGGCGACAATATATAAAAGCAGCGAACTCTGCTCTCCAGAGCAAGTAGATTGGTAACGCGGCCTCCTGCTCTCCTCTATCTTGTCTGCTGTCATGATTCATGCAGCTATTATTTCATCCAAATAAAAAAATGGAGAACAAATGAACAGATCATGGCTTGTCTACAGTGAAAGGAAGGAATGTGTTATTTACTTTTGCCGTTGCCTTTTTTTAGAGGCCCCCCTGTCCGTCTTTGCCTAGGGCCCCAAATTTCCGAAGTCCACCCCTGCCTGCAAACCAATGAACAGGTTAATTATCGAATCAGGGCATGTTTTGGTACATAATTTAATGTTATTGTCAAGGTTTGGTTTTAAGGTTTTTGTGAGGACCCAAAAGCAGAAGCTGAGAGGCAGGGGTGAGATCTTTGAAGGTTTAATTAAGGATGACAGGCAGCCAAACAGTAATAAAAAAAAAAAAAACTAAAAAAATGTAAATCAAAACAGGAATCCAAAAAACCAACATAAGAATTAAACACAAACCAGGACCATGGCGACATCAGGGGAAAACAATCAGGAGGAGCCAGTGTGAAGTAAGACAAGGAAACAGCAAAGAGCGACTGCAGAGGGAGTGTATTTATAGCTGACTGAACAAAGGCAGGACTAACGAGCTGATAAGGAGCAGGTGTGAGTAGAGCGGACGAAGAAGCCAAGGGAAAAGAAAACACAAGGGGGCAACAGAGGACAAAGAAAAACCTAAGAAACTTAAATGAATCTAGACACACCAATAAAGCTAGAAAACAATGAAAAACCTGAATGAACTTGAAACTGAAAACTTAGAGAAAAACAACAGAATCAAGATTGTTACAGTTATATAGTTTAAATAATAACATGATGCAACGCCACATGGATGAGAATATTTATCTTGTAGCCCCCATAGTCAGAGGGACTATACGGCAGCACCAAGTAGCCATGAGCACAAAATGCCTGAGTGGGCAGGTGGGATTACTCATTAAGTAAATATTAAATGAATCTAATGAAGAGTACAATGCAGTTCTGTATGCTCAGAACTATGACCATTTTTATTCAAATGTCTCTTAGTGTCACAAGCAAACCCGCAGTTTCTATACCCAAGCCATATAAGTGACTGGTTAAATTTTTTTACATTAAAAGTAGATAGTGAATCGAATGGTGAAATGAAAAATAATTAAATAAATCTGAATGTTCAGCCCTTGACAAATCTTAATTAAGTTCAAATATTTTTTTTCCACATTGAATATGCAAACATTTTTAAGATTAGTGTGAAATATTAATAATTTCAGTTATTTTTTTTTTCACTTTGAAGGTTTATGCACACTTATCTGAACAGAATGTTGATTCAGATATTGTTGAAAAGGATATGTTATGAAGAATAATGTTGGAAATTTGCACTAATGTCTGAATAAATCTGCATTAAGCAACCCTAACGTGCATTGTATTAGAAGTATCTTAGAAGATCCATAGATTTAAAAGCCTTTACAATGCAATGTAGTTGACTTAGGTTTAATGATAATAGATCATTATCTTAGGAGGGCCTGTCTGAGGGGTGAAACTGCGGAGCTGAAAATTAGTCCTACTGGTGCAAAGAGTATTTGCACCATTGTGTATGTCTGTACGTTCTGTTACGGACAATTTTTATCAAATAATAAAGTTAATAACATAAATAAAAAATCCTCACAAGCTTTGCCAGTATCCCTTTCTTTATATGTAATTTCCAGTCCTCAAAGTCCTTAAAATGTTTTGGTTCCCACACACAAACATCCTTTGTGACCCATGACTGTTCCTCCCACCCACTCATGCTGCTCCAAGTCAGTGGGTGGTGTGGGGATTCTCAGTTCTCGCTTGCACTGCTCCCAACGATGCGTTCTTCTCTCTACCTCCTGACCTTTCTCTACCTTCACTCCTGGGCAACAGGTAAGACAGCCTCACATCTAAAACAAAATGTTTAATATTATGCTTTCTTCTTAAATAGCTTCCTAAGTACAAGTAACACTGACTTTGCACACAATGACAACTGAATGTTCGTATAACCCCAAAAAAGTGACTTCTGACCTTGAAATATGTTTTTTTTTAATCTATTGTAAATTAGAGATTATTGAAATGAGGAGAAGAGGGGCATGGATTGTAAAGATACAATTTAAAAGATTTAATAATTTGCACAAAATACTACTGCACATATTGGGCCCAGGTTTTTTTCTTTGTGCCCAGAATATTATTTCAAAAGTGTGTAATCTATTCACGTGTACAAGTAGAAATGGAAACTGAATAAATAAATAAAACTGATTAAATTAGAAGACAAAAATAGATCAACCATCTTTAAAATAATATCAAAGAGTATTTAAAATTTTATCTGAAGTTCCACAAACAGAGTAGAAGCACAAACAGCATGTACCTAAATGTCTCATGCTTAAATAGTATTTAGTCAACTATTGGATTAAGAAATAAAATATTACACATTACATTAATCTATTATTAGTAATTTAACTGATTTTTTCATCGCTGTTCTTTCTGGATAAGTAAATGTTTATTTATTCAGAAAATAGGGGACAAATAACCTCTACATTTGTGAAAAAAAATCCTGCTGTTAAGAATGATTTTCATGTAATTTAAGCAGAGGTGTCAAGTAACAAAGTACAAATACTTCATTACTGTACTTAAGTACACTTTTTACGTATCTATACTTTACTCCATTACTTAATTTTCTTCCTACTTCTGACTTCTACTCATTACATTTTCACACAAGTATCTGCACTTCTATTCCTTACCTTTTTAAAATGTTACTCGTTACTCTTGGATTCGGTTTAATGTTTATAAATATTTATTTCATGTCATCCAATGCAGATCACTGGCTCCATCCACATCTAGTGAAAACTAGTGTAATTGGATGAGTCATACCGTATAACGCAAACACTCATTGGTTAGCCAATGGCATTCTTCGGGAGCAAGCAGATGTTCTTAAAACTGCAAATGTGAATTGTCTATGTCATGCTACGATGTAGGATTCAGAAAAAGATGTTGAAATGTCTGAAAGGTCGGACACAGGCGAGAGCGTATCGGGAGATGGAGACCAACAAGACCTCCCTCATCCTTGGCTCTATCTCAAAGAAATTTTCAAAATAGTCGAAAAGTTAGCTTTCAGTTCATAAAGTGGCATCTGGCTGTTTTTTTTAAAAGGTTACCTTTTACTTTGATACTTTAAGTAGTTTTTGGAGCACATACTTTTTCACTTTTACTTGAGTAAAGAGGTGAAGTTGATACTTTAACTTTTACCAGAATGTTTTTAAACTGCAGTATCTATACTTCTACTAAAGTAACAAAAGTGGGTACTTTTTCACACTGAATTTAAGGTTTAGCAAATATGATTTATCAAAAAAAAGGAAAGTTTGTCCAATAATGATAATGTCTTTCACATAAAAAAAAAAATATTTTTTTTTAGTTTGAAAATTTTTACCTTTGTTCAAGGAGGACAAAAATATTAGTATTGATTAATACTGCATTTTTTCTAAGCTTCTATTTTCCCTCAGGAAGACAATACAATAGAATATTATATTTTACAAATTGTTGTCTCCAGTAGTTCAGCTTGTTAAAACCTCTGGGTGTGAAAATCTTTCCCATTGAGAGTTTGTTTCAGATTAAAGAAAATTAAAACGTGCATTAAATCAAAGGAAACCACACATAGACTAATGTGTGGTTTTCGTCTTTGCTTTCTGCTCCTTAGTCCAGAACAGGTGTGTGAGCCAGGTGGAGTAAAGCCAGCCTCCACCTGTGCATTGTTCTCACCTGGTGAGAACTGTTGTCCCGTTTCAAAGATCGGCATTATGGGAAGCAGCCGGGTTAATCTGTGCTCCTGTATTAGCTAAATGATTCTGTACAGCAGCTTCTGTTCCCACCACCAAGTCAGGCACGGGAGGAGTTTTTTTCTCATCAGCGATGCAATACACAGCAACAGCACATCATTAAATGACTTCATCAGCACCTGATGTAGGGACACATTCAATTTACTCTGAATGTAGTCGGTGAATTGACAACCACTCCATTGTTGTAAATAAAGTCTACAACTCCCCATCGAAAGAAGACCTTTAAACCAGCTATGGTGAGGACACAGGAATTCTGTCAAAAGGTAAAACCAGACTATTATCTCAATCGACAAGAAAGTAAAAAACAATGGTTTTCATACAAGACATGAAAAACTAAATCACACAAACATTGGCATTTATGGGCTTTAATCTGGAGAAAAAAAACTACAGGGATTAATAGGTGAACTCTGCAGTTGGAGCCAATAATATTTCATTATATACAACTTATTTAAACATATATACATATATATATATTTAAATAAGCTCCCAGGCCTCTGGTAGAGGACCTGAGCTTGGAGAAAAAAGGGGGGAGGTGAGGAAGTGTTTTTTTTAATATACATATATTAAAAAAAAAACTCTTCCTCACCCATTGTCCCCCTTTTTTCCTCTACGAGAGGCCTGGGAGCTTGAGGGTTCTGCGCAGTATCTTTGCTGTTCCTAGAACAGCATTGATCTGGACCAAAATGTCTGATGTATTTCCAGGGATTTTCTGTAACCACTCCGCCAGTTTGGGGTTCACTGACCCCAGGGCCCAATGACCGCGGGTACCACTGATGCCTTGACCTTCCAGGGTTTTCTCCAGCTCTTCTCTGAGCCCCTGGTATTTCTCTAGTTTTTCATGTTCTTTTTTTCCTGATGTTGCAGTCACCACAACGGCTTTCCTCTGCTTTTTGTGCACCACCACAATGTCTGCTTGGTTTGCCATTACCATTGAGTCCGTCTGTATCTGGAAGTCCCATAGGATCTTTGTCATTCTCTACCATCTTTGGGGTACCACTTTGACCTTGCTGTTTCCAGCCCATACTCTCCACAGATGTTCCTTTGCACTATTCCAGTCATTTGATCATGGCGCTCCATGTAAGCTTTCCCTGCTAGCATCTTACTGTGGTGTAGAGGCTGCAGTGCATCTGCCTGGAAGAAAGTAAGAAGAGTAGTGAGAACAGCATAGAGGATCAACAGGGCTACACTCCCCTCCATTAAAGACATTCTTTGCAGCGCTGCATGTCCCGAGCCCATAGCATCATCAGCGACCCCTTACACCCCCACCATGGACTTCTCTCCTTGCTGCCCTCTGGGAAGAGGCTTCGCAGCATTCACTGCAGGTTCCCCACTGCCATCAGACTGCTGAACTGTTGAAAAAACTCTAAATCAAGTCACAAATCGAGACATTGCATCACACTAATACCATCACACCAAATACAACTCAACTCAAATGTTTTTGTACTGCATTTTTGCACCATATATATTGGTCTGTTTTTGCACTGTTCTGAACTTCCATATGAATGCCTTTTGCACCATGTTTTTCTCCCACCATGTTTACATTTAATCACTGCTGCACTTTATGAAATGGAAATGTTCCTTTTCACTGCTAGGCTGCGGCTCATTTACTGTCTGAAAGCTGTATAAACGAAATTTTGTTTTGTATACACTGTATGCAAAATCACAATACACTTGTCTATTTCATATTTGGCGTTTAGGCAATTTCTTATTTGCAGAATATAACATGCCTTTGATAAGAATAAGGAGGATCTATAACACTCATCCCTAGAACTTCATAGACCTTTCAGTTTTGATTATTCCTTAAGTTTCGTTGCTTTTTTAATCTTAAATCTCAAAGTTCAGTTACTTGTAGTAAACAATTAATCTGTTCAGGACGCCTCTCCAAGACTGAAATAAAAGCTTTTATTTTTCATGTGCCAGTCTAAGTTTTTTTATGTGTTCCACTTTCAGCTGAGTGGTGTTACCAGACCCAGACCTGTGATGACACATGTAAAGGTAAGTTGAAACCGATGCTGATAAAATATTCATACAAATATAGTAGCAGGGGGTAATTAATTTTAGTTCAGTCCGATTCAGTTCAACCCAGTTTATTTATCAGGATCCAATTTGCTACAAATATCAGAAAAAAAACAGCCAACACATGTCCAAATTAAGTCTAGTGATCAAATCTAATGAAATTAGTTTGAATCTGGAAGTAGTAATAAAAGACGGAGGATTTATAGTTAATTCTCAGCAGATCTAGCTTTGATTTTATAACTGCCTTTTTCAGACCCAAGGCACTGGGCTGCTCTGTTTCCCAGATGTGGAGGGTTACGCCAGTCGCCAATTAACATCGTGACCAATAGAGTGCATTTCAACAGCGCCCTGCCTCCCTTCAGCTTCATGGGACACACCGACCTTATCAACATTACTGTAGAGAACAAAGGACACTCTGGTAATAAATCTGTTCTCATCCCCTTCAGAGCAATTCTTCAGCTGAGTTTAACACTGAGTCTTTTTTCTCCTGTAGCACACTTTGCTTTACCTCAGTCAGTGCGACTGACAGGAGGTGCTCTGCCGGGTCACTACAGAGCTGCACAGTTTCACTTCCACTGGGGAGGGAATGGGAGACCGGGATCAGAGCACACCATTGATGGAGAAAGGTTTCCCATGGAGGTAAGGGAGCCACATTCAGGAAAGAGGACTGGTGGATAAAAGGATTATTAAGGAAAGGTCTAATTATATGGGATATTTTTTGTTAAGTTGGTAATTTTTTGTGGATAAGGAGGAGTTATGAGCAGCGGTAGTTTTTGATATGGCTTTTCAGGGCAACAAATGGAGGTGAGGGCTGCACAGACACCAGACTACAAAGTAGTACCTGCAATCAGTGGTGCTATGAGCAAGCTATCGCTTTTATGTATCTGCAAACAACTGGCAGTTTACACGTTTTAGTTTTTGTGCATATTTATTTTCAGCCCAGGATTTAGTTGACTTCTTTCAGCTCAAAGCCACTTTTAGTAATTGATGAACAAGCAATAATACAAGAACTCAATCAAAATAAAGGGTTCTAACAACATACAGGTGCTGGTCATAAAATTAGAATATCATGAAAAAGTAGATTGATTTCAGTAATTCCATTTAAAAAGTGAAACTTGTATATTATATTCATACATTACATACAAACTCATATATTTCAGATGTTTATTTTGTTTAATTTTGATGATTACAAATGACAACAAATGAAAATCTCAAATTCATCATATCAGAAAATTAGAATATTACTGAAGACCAATAAAAACAAAGGATTTATAGAAATGTTGGCCAACTGAAAAGTATGAACATGAAAAGTATGAGCATGTACAGCACTCAGTATTTAGTTGGGCCTCCTTTGGCCTGTATTACTGCAGCAATGCGGCGTGGCATGGAGTCGATCAGTCTGTGGCACTGCTCAGGTGTTATGATAGCCCAGGTTGCTCTAATAGTGGCTTTTAGCTCTTCTGAATTGTTGGGTCTGGTGTATTGCATCTTCTTCTTCACAATACCCCATAGATTTTCTATGGGGTTAAGGTCAGGAGAGTTTGCTGGCCAATTAAGAACAGGGATACCATGGTCCTTCAACCAGGTACTGGTAGCTTTGGCACTGTGTGCAGGTGCCAAGTCCTGTTGGAAAATGAAATCTGCATCTCCAAAAAGTTGGTCAGCTGCAGGAAGCATGAAGTGCTCTAAAACTTCCTGGTATGTGGCTGCGTTGACCCTGGACCTCAGAAAACACAATGGACCAACACCAGCAGATGACATGGCACCCCAAACCATCACTGACTGTGGAAACTTTACACTGGACCTCAAGCAACGTGGATGAAGTGCCTCTCTTCTTTTCCTCCAGACTCTGGGACCTTGATTTCCAAAGGAAATGCAAAATTTACTTTCATCAGAGAACATGACTTTGGACCACTCACCAGCAGTCCAGTCCTGTTTCTCTTTAGCCCAGGCAAGACGCTTCTGACGCTGTCTGTGGTTCAAGAGTGGCTTGACACAAGGAATGCGACAGCAGAAACCCATGTCTTTCATACGTCTGTGTGTGGTGGTTCTTGAAGCACTCACTCCAGCTGCAGTCCACTCTTTGTGAATCTCCCCCACATTTTTGAATGGGTTTTGTTTCACAATCCTCTCCAGGGTGCGGTTATCTCTCTTGCTTGTACACTTTTTTCGACCACATCTTTTCCTTCCCTTCGCCTCTCTATTAATGTGCTTGGACACTGAGCTCTGTGAACAGCCAGCCTCTTTAGCGATGACCTTTTGTGTCTTGCCCTCCTTGTGCAAGGTGTCGATGGTCGTCTTTTGGACAACTGTCAAGTCAGCAGTCTTCCCCATGATTGTGTAGCCTATAGAACTAGACTGAAAGACCATTTAAAGGCTTTTACAGGTGGTTTGAGTTAATTAGCTGATTAGAGTGTGGCATCAGGGGCCATCAATTTTGAACCTTTTCACAATATTCTAATTTTCTGATATGATGAATTTGAGATTTTCATTTGTTGTCATTTGTAATCATCAAAATTAAACAAAATAAACATCTGAAATATATGAGTTTGTATGTAATGTATGAATATAATATACAAGTTTCACTTTTTAAATGGAATTACTGAAATCAATCTACTTTTTCATGATATTCTAATTTTATGACCAGCACCTGTATTTATGTTTATTAAGCTTTTTTGTTATGCAAATGTGTTTAACGATGCTCTTTAACATGATGTATTTTCCTAAATCCCCCCTCCTTCTCTGCACAGTTGCACATAGTCCACATTAAAGAACCATATGTCTCTCTGGAGGAGGCAGAACATGATATGGCAGGTATAGCTCTGCTTGCCTTTCTCTTTGAGGTAATGAAAAAACATTTTGCTTTTCTTCTTCATTCTTTATAATAAAATACAGTGTCTTACAAAGCATTTAAACCCATTGAACAACTTCACATATTGTTACATAGCAGCCACCAATGTGCAAAAAAAAAAATCAGATGATCAGATTATATGAATCCTTCGTATTCCATCTATTTAATTAACTTCTTATTGCACGAGCTACTTACGACTGCAAGTATTTTAGGCATTATTTTTTTTCGATCAAATTTCCTTACTTACTAAAGCTTTAGCCCACTCATCTCTCAATACTACTTCAAGCTAAGTAAGACTGGATGGAGGGGGCTTCTAAGTAGAAATATTCAAAATTGCCAAAAGGTCTCAATGGGTTTTATGTCAGGACTTAGTCTGGGCCATTCCCTTTGAAGACAATTTATGATAATAAAAAAAACATAAACAGAATTTGTATCTGATAATTATGAATGATATATCAGCATCTCATATTTATGAACTTTCTAACTGATAATTATGAGACTGTATCTCATAATTATAACATGGCTACTGTATTATTATAAAAAGGTAATTCATAAGTATGTTATACTGTCTTAGTATCTCATTATTATGAGAAACTATATCATAATGATGAATGAGAAATACTATCTCATAAATATGTCTTAGATATCTTATGATTATTATATTGAATCTCATAATGACATGGTTATTTTATCATTATAGGATTATAAGTCATAGTTATAAGATGCTATCACAGTATCTGATTTTTATGAGATAGCATTTAACAGTTATTAGAAACTATTCCATAAAAATCTAATTATAACGAGATCCTATCTCATAACAACTTTGCTATCTCATTATTATGATCATGATATTTTAAACTTATTAGATACTATGTCATATTAATGATTTATCTGTGTCATAATTATGATATACCATATCATAATTGTGAAATACTATCTGGGATAGTATCTCACAATTCTAAGCTTGTTAAGTCATAATGATATGATGCTTACATAGTAATTCATAATAATGAGATACTAGGTCATTATTTTGACTCGGGTTTCTCATACATATGACTCACTGACTCACAGGGGTGGAAAGTAACGAATTACATTTACTCAAATTACTGTAATTGAGTACTTTTTATGAGTAATTTGTAATTTTCTGAGTAGATTTTGAAATATGTAATTTTTACTTTTACTTGAGTAAATTTTAACCTAAGTAGTTTTACTTTGTTACATTTAAAACCCCCTCACGTAACTGAGTAAAAAAAAAAAAAAAAAAACTACTGATGAGGAAAAAATTAAATGCGGCCGGAAATTTAAACCCCTGTGTCACGGAACCGACACTTAATCGCCATTAAAAAATAGAAGAAGACTTTTTACTTTAAATAGCACTTTATTTACACAATTCAAACATATAAACAATTGATGTAAAAATAAGAGACAGTTAAAATCATTAAATGAGGAGCTTGTTAATAACAGTGGGATCCTGTTGCGTTTTAGTTTGATTTCTGGTATCTTTTGGGTATTTAATTTTGTGTGCATTTTGAAAACTTTAAAACATAGTTTAAATTTCTTTATTCCTGGTCAATTCGATTCATGACTCATCCTTTTTTGCATTAAATAACTCAAAGTAACTAAGTAACTTTTACTCAAATTACATTTTAAATGAAGTAATTTTGTACTTTTACTTCAGTCAATTTTAAGATGGGTAATTTTACTTTTACTCTGAGTAAAATTTAGGCAAAGTAAAGATACTTTTACTCAATTACAATTCTTTAGTACTCTTTCCACCTCTGCTGTCTCATAATAGTGAGATAGCTAAATTAGAATGATGACATACAATCTCAGAATTATGAGAAAAAGTAAGTTAAATTTGAGTTGTTTTTTGTTGCTTTTTTTGAGTTTGTGACGGAAATGGGCTTCCATACTTTCTTAGATGAATATGCTTGTAAATTTTTTTTTTCCTGCTGGAAAGTGAACCCCATTTTTGACTTTTTCTGGCCTTTAACAGTTTTTTTTACTGTTGTTGTTTTGTTTTCCTATTTTCAGGATTGTTCTGTATTTAGTTATTTCCAAAGTATGCTAGTTATAAGTCATAGCATGCCTTCATTGAACAAACCACCTAATTCTATATAAGATTTCCTGAATTATGGTTTTCTATGTTCAGTGTTCTGCAACTTTTAGATTGTGTCTGCTTCCACACCAGAATCAATTTACCTCCTCAGAATGCAGACATGTTCTCCAAAGTCCTGCTAATGACTTTGTTGTTTAATTCAGGTGTGCTGAAGCAGAGACCCATTTATTTTGTTTTGCCAATCCAAAGTATGAAATGCCTTGTTTATCACATACAATCCAAATCAACTTCACTTAGAGTGTGTTTTCACCATACAAAATGTGAAAAGTTCACAAGTATGAATCCTATAGCAATGTGATGTAAAATGTCATCTGAAGATCAGTTCTTAGTTTTTCCAATGACTTCCTTACAGGAAACAACAGATGATCATCCTCATCTAGACACAATAATTGCTGCGTTGGGTCAAGTACAAAACAATGGTAAATATATTCTTTTTATTTACTTAAACAGGCATATATTTGTAATTTATACCTATGTTCTTCATAAACATGAAATTTAAATGCATGCTTAGACAGTACAACAGATCATGTAGGCACAAGGGGAATCTGAGGCATCTGTACAAAAGCAGCTATGGCAAAAAAGAAAAATACATGAATTAGCCAACTAAATACAAATTAAATCATCAGACAAAACATAATTGGAAAGAGCCAAACAGTCCAAAAACGAATCAATACAGCTTACATCTGATTAAAAACAAGGTTAAACAAGGAGCAAACAAACTAGTGTTGCACTGATACCGATACCAGCATCAGGCGGGGCCCCAATACTGCACTAAAATGGTGGTATAGGCGAGTACCAACAAATAGGGCACCTATACCATTTTGAGAGCCAAAAGTTTGTTCAACTATTGTCACCCATTCCAGGTAGGCAATAAAAAGTTCTACTAGATTCACTTTGTATTAGTCTTTTTCCTGCTTCACAAAGGTAGGCAACAGCTTGAAAAAGCCATGATGGCAATTATTTTACACCCAAGTAGTATGCAGTTCTTCATATGTACACACAGACATATATTTCAAACAGATGGTATCGGTATGGTATCAGTATCGGCCAATACTGCACAGCCAGGTATCAGGGATCAGTATCAGGGCTAAAAAATGGCATTGGCGCAACACTAAAACAAACCTATGTAATTTTGTAGTGACACACACATAATAGAAAAAAAAAATGCAGTTTGTTATATATACTAATAAAAAAAGAGAACATAAATGAAACTAACTAAAGAGGCAATATGGCCCAAGAAAACCCAGAGGTTAAAAGCAGAGAATGCCAGCTGGTGTTTGACCAAACAGAAGCCATTTTTTTCTGGATTTGTTTTCAATTCTTTAAGCATTTATTCTGGATCAGTTCCAGTTTTCCGAGGCTCTCTCTTTATTTTTTATTGTGTTAAGGCAGCAGCACTGTGATCCCAAACTTTAGATTGAGTTACATCATCCCAGCAGCCAAGGATCTTCACAGTTATTACCGCTATGTGGGCTCCATGACGACTCCGGGATGTGAGCAGGCCGTTGCTTGGACTGTGTTTCATAGGATGCTGTCAATTAGCAGTCGACAGGTGAGAAATACATCAAGATTTTATTCTGATCTTTCATCTTTTTCAGATTGAAGGAAAAAGTCAAACAGTTTCATCCTGGAGCAGGTTAATGACCAGGATTGAAAAAGTTCAGTTTAGGCAACTGGATGTTAGGCTTTCTAGAAGATGCTTCGCTTCTCATCAAAGAGGCTTCTTCAGTTCTAAGTAGTGGTGGGGAGCACTGAGATTAATATGCTGTAGGTGTAACAACGAATTAGGGGGGACAAAAGGTGGCTTTGATCCCTCCCACTGGATTGGCCAAGGAGGTCACATGGGGGGGAATTAAAGGTCGTTAGGGGTTTCTGCTGGGTCGTTAACTCCTTCGTCAGAGTGGTTGCGGTCACCTGCCTCATTGAAATGTGAGTCAGGTGAGGGCGGGTGGGAGGTGAATCTTTTGGGTATTGTTCCTGAAGGTGCTTTGTAAGTAGGTGAAAGGTTAACGTCCAGTTGCCTAGACTGAACTCTTTCAAGCTTGACCATGACCTGGATTACTGAGAATCTTCACCGATATGTTAATGATTAGCTATATTATATAAGGCAACCTGTTGGTGAGAATAATTATCAGAAAACTTGATTCGCTTTTCATGACTTTCTCTTTTAGTCAGTTGGAAGGTAGAAAATATACATTTTTTTCATGATCAGTACTGAAAATCTGTTTTATTCTGAAGAATCACTGTCTCTTCTCCTCATCTCGAAAACTTTTCCCTCTTCTCCCCAGCTGGATGCCATTGTTAATCAGTGCCGATTTCGGACAGGTCAACCTATGACAGACATCTTCAGACCCACGCAGCCTCTGGATGGCAGAGTGGTATTTAGCTCCAAGTCGGGTACAGCTCAAGGAAGTCTGATCCATATGTGGTTCAGTGTTTTCTCAGTTCTGGTCATGCATATTATCCTAATACATATTATCTAGAACATATAACGCCCTGGTTCAGAAAAAAAGAAATTGCTTTCCAATAAAACAACATTTATAGAGAGTCCCCAAAGAGCCAGAATAATTAACCTATTTTAAAGTATATATCAGAAAAAGATTGCATACATTTTTTAATGACATCAATAAATCGCATACCCTACCCTGCTATGGCAAAAACAAATAATTAAAAAAGAAAATCCTTTCTCTAGAAATGTTATTTTATAGAAATAATACACAAGTATGGCATGAAAATGCACAATAAATCAGAGCTATACAAGCCTTTTCAATACCTTAATATTTAAAAGCATTGTTCATTTTACTTGTTGCTAAAGTTAGTATTAACCAAACTGGAGCATCCAATGAGCCACTTTTGTTTCTAGAGCCAAGGGTTGTATGTTTATGCAATGGACCATGCCTTCATGCCTGTTGTGTCTTAAGTAATTTCCATTTTGCATAATGACCAGCGTTTAGTGTGGTGTTCAACTTTATTGTTTTAGAATTTAATATTGATTTAAACATCCTCACTTCTTTTTTCCTTATCTTGATTCTGTGTTCCTCGGTCTTAGTGATCCTGTTTGCTTTTTTAAATGTTCTCTAACAAAATATTTTGAGGATTTCATGGAAATGCTTTATTTGTACTCCATAGGACTCCGGTAGTAGGTGACAAAAGTCTTTGCTTGAGTAGGATTTTATTTAGTATGCCATTGTTCCTGATTGTTCTTTGTAAAAAAATGAATAAATCTATGTATGAATTTCCTTCCAACTTGCAAGTGTGAATCATTGCTTGTATATTGGAAACACACATTATCTACATGCAAGATGCACTTAATTTTACATCAAAAACATTTTGTCCATCCTGTTTTTGAACCTCAATTTAACCATTTCAAAGTAAGCAGAAGATTGTAAAGTGCAATAAGACGGGTCTATAGTGTACCAAATACTTTACTATATTACAACTCATTTCCCGCACCAGCCAGAGAAACTGAGTTTTCTAATGATATTGCCCCCTGTGGCCAAAACACAGAAGTGCAGCACTTTTCTTATTGTCGTAGCTCGCGTTAATACTTCTTTTTTTAACTTTTTTTTTTACCTTATTTGGAGTTGCCATCTTTTAGAAGAGTTGAGTGCCGGTTGCTTCAGAGTATTCACAAAATCCACCTTGAATATAATAGGTGATAACTAAATGCTACATCGGCCCCATTTAACAACTGCTCATTAAATTATCTTTTAGTTTTAAAGGTTCAAATAAAAAGTCTGTTTTAAAGATATGTTTCAGTAAAAAAAAATACATAATGTCTCTTTAAAGCCTTAAATCTGTCATACGCTGAGCTCCATCCAGCTTTTTACAACAAGCAATGGGGCCACATTAAAATTAGTTTCTACTGAAAGTAAAAATTAATGTTATAGTTTTCACTTAAAAATTTACAGAGAGGAATGACAATAGCAACTCATTTCCAAGTATTGCGATACTTGTTGGTAGTCCATGAGTGTAAACACCTTTCATCGGATTCACAGTTGGGCCATAGTCTTGAAATTTCCAGACATTCTCATTGGGGTAAATTTTTCAAATCTTTTTCAAATCTTCATACAACAATTTTTTGACAAAATTTTTAGATAAAATCAGGGCTGCTGTTGACATCAGTTCAAAATCTAAGAACCATTCATTACTGGTTTAACTAAACTTTAATGTTAAGGGGTTAAATATGTAACCTATTGTGCCTTTTATCTTGCCATCACTGAATGTCTCCTATTGTAAAAATCACCCTGTGTTTGAGGATCTCAAGGTGTGGACAACGGTTGAACATTTATGTTTTCTCTTACAAGGGCTATTGTGGTTTAGAGCGAGCTACACAACACTTATTGCCAGGTTTTGACATAAAATGTTTTCATCTTTCCCTTTTTTTGTAATACATGCTATAATTCTGTCATTTATGTCCTTAATTTGTATATAACTTAATCTTTAGCCCCTTCTGTATCCTGTGTGTACATCTAAACACTTCAGCGTGAGCTTGTTAGCATGATCTTTTTAGTATCTAGCTTAAGGTGCTTCCAGAGCTGCTATCACTGCAGCATATAAAAGCACCTAACTCTGCTCTCCAGAGCAAGTAGATTCATAACCCCGCCTCCTGCTACCCTCTATCTTGTCTGCTGTTATGATTCATGCAGCTATTATTTCATTTATAAAATGAAAAATTTCATAAATGAAAAATTGAGAACAGATAAGCAGATAATGGCTTGTCTACAGTGAAAATAAGGGCTGAGTTATTTACTTTAGCCGTTACCTTTTTGGAAACACGGGAAGGAGAAATCAGCTAAGTGAGCTTAGTGATTGGGGAAAATATTTCATTCTTTTTGAGACAACATGAAAAGTCAGCTGAGTAGAAAACATAGAGAGGGGAAAAAAACAAGAAAAGGGACAAGAAGAGAGGGACAAAACATAGAAAAAATTATGTATGGCTATAATGGGTCTGTTTTATGTGTTGTCTTCTCAATTCAGAGGGCTCAATGCTTGCCTTTGCCTAGGGCCCAAAATTTCCTAAATCTGTCCCTAGTATAGATAGCCAAAATGTCTACTTGAGTAAGGTAACTAAGTATTTGCACTTTTATTCTTGAAGCCTCTGGTTGAAATCGTGAATATCTGTGAATTTAGATAAAATTAACTCTTTAATTTAAGCCATCCATTTTGTTAGGAAAAACAGAACATTTAATTGTTTTATATTTTTTTCTTTTCCTAAAATCAGTGAACTCTTTCAGAGAAAAAGGCCTTAGTAATTTCAATAGACAATGCTGCAATATGTATAATACTAGGGTTGTCAAAACACTAAAATTTCCAACTCTATATTGATAAATCAGTACTTGATACCAAAGGAATAAAAGGCATACAAACATATTGATTAACACAAAAAACTCACCTTTCTCATTCTCAACATGGAAGGTACTTCCTGAACAGAATTAGAGGTTAAATAAGTGTATAATATCATGTATAATAAGTGACCCAAATGTAACAGTTTGACAATAGTTCAGATTATTTTAGGTATTATTTCTCTAACGTGCAAATTAATCTTAGAAATTAGAATTCTAAAAATAGCAAAAATATGCAAACAACCTTAGTATTTAGTCTCGATACCATGTAAAAACAGTATTTTATCCAGATACAGTGTTTTTTTTAAAGTTATAAAGAAATAAAAACCCAGTTGTTTAATTTGGGGAAATAAATCATAACAGGAAGTCTGGGACATCATCCTTTTTTTAATCAGTTATTGATCACCGATCAGGTAAGACAATGAGTGTGTTTGATTTCGGCCTCTGCGTCCTCCGAAGGACCCAGCCTACCTGCACTGGGTCCTTCGAAGGCTGTGAAAATAAGGAGGCTGCAAGAGTTCGGCTTTAGATTCAAACAGGTCCGGCCTTCTCCATCTGTCACTGCCCGTCACTCACCGTAAACTCTGTCGCCTTTTTGAGGAGCTTCAGCAGCAACACAGGTTACAAATTTGTAATCCCCACACTGCACAATTTTGGAATCTGTGCTTAAACGTCAGGCAATCCAGTTAAAAGCTTTCAATAAACCAAAAATTACCGTGACATATCCAACTTCCAAACAATTTAAATGAACTATTTTTATTATTTTAATAGGGACCTATTCGCATATGTTCGTACTGCAAGCAGCGGCCTGCTTGCTTCGACTCGCAATGAATCATGGGATAAGGTAGTCCAGACCCGTCCATAAAAGCAGGTGAAAAGAAAGCTCAATTTGTCAGATGCATATGAAGGAGTTCTTGAATTTAAACAGGGGCCATTGCGCTGCTATGATGTAACTGGTCAACGAATCTGTTCTTCGGAGGACTCAGCCACCGGATTCAAACACAGCCAATATAATTAACAATAGTATCCAGAGATAAATATGCCAAAGTGATTATTAGGTCTGACAGCTGACAGTGGCATTGAGAAAAAGTCACTGCGACTTTATTCTTAGCCAGTTCCTCAGGTGTTCCACCTGGGTCATGACGCTACTCTTGGCGGTTCCACCAGGGGCGCTGTACTGCTCCACACTGCTTCTGTAATCCCACACTGCAAATACATCACTTCCAAACAAAGGGCTAAAGTTCATAGGCACACACAAACAAACAAAGAACATACTTTTAAACCATGAAATGTTTGTGCATAAAGTTGGCTTTTGATCCAAACACAGTAACTACCTGACAGCCACAAGGTCTGCCTCAGTGAGTTGGTTCAGGGAGACGTTTTTAGACTCCGCTGTAAACACAGCTTTCCCAGAGAGACCATGGGCTTCTCTAAAAGGCACCTGTAACAGAGAGCAGAGTCAAAACAAAAACATTAACATCTAAATTTTAAAATCGTTTTAATTTCTTTGAACCTACAAACATTTTTCAGTACATTTAAATACACCCAGACTAAAATGAACATCCTTGCTAAAAACATTCTTTAGGTTTAACTCACCCCCTTCCTCACGAGGTAGTAGGCCAGATCTGTAGCCAACATATCGGGACTGAGGGCAGCTTCCATCACATTCTGGTTGATCTGAAATACAGCAGTCTGGTATATTAATTCAATGTCTTTATAAACACCTCATTACCGTATGTTGACATCTGTGAAGTAAAAATAGAATTATCCTCAATGTATATCAAAAGTTCTTTAGGTTTTAGCTGGATTTCATGTCATTTTTTCATTTATTGTTTATTCGAAAGGGGACAGTGTACATTAATCAACATTAAAACAATGTAAATATACCCGAGTTAGCTAAGGAGGGCTAATTTTCATCGGTAGTCCCCCAGCCAGGTATAAAAAAGGCAACCTTAAAAATAAAAGTATAAAATCACAAGATAAAATTACAATACCAATTACATAAAAAACATTGGGCCGGATTTATCAAGATCCAATTTTGCGTGCAGTAATTTGCGCTCGCAAACTGGAAATTTGCGCGAGGGGCTGAACCATGGTTTGCGGGTGATTTAACAAGAGTGATTGCGTAACTGGTGGCATGTGCAAAACTGTTGGAGACGCCCTATTTAAATGATGGTTTTGCGCGTTTTGTGGTTTGCGGCAAAGTAGTTTGTACAAACTAGTGCATTAAGAAATTTAAATCTTACAGTGACCCCCAACAAAAAAAAATATATATATATATATATTATATATATATATATATATATATATATATATATATATATATATATATATATATATATATATATATATATATATATATATAAAAAACTGGCAACCTTTATTCCCTAAGGTGGTATGTGGCTGAATATGTGTGCTGCGCGTACGCATACCCGCAGCATTTGGCACATTGCTCCACAGGCGCAGGGGGAGAACCCCGACCCCGTCGGACAGCACTTCGGACAGCACTTCTGAAAAAACGAGATTGGGAGATCCCAGCTCTCGCTGCAACCGTACGCTGGAATGACCCAGATGCAAAAAAGTACTAAATGGATAAGAGGCGCTATTTAGCAAGTTTTAAAGACCAAATCCTTTTAGCACGCTGTTGATAGATCAGTTTGTACATTTTTTAGCGTGCGCAGTGAAATAACTCACGTTTTTATACACGCAAACCTTTGATAGATCCGGCCCATTATGGTTAAGAAATACAATTCATGTAAAATAATAAAAAATAATTGTAAAATTATTTA